ATTGTTGATTTTGACAAGTTTGGTAATCTACTAACACGATAGCGTCATTATGACTTTCCAATGCCACTTCATTGCAATAATTCTTTAGAACGGTAATCTCCGAGTACATAATGACAAATAATATTTCATAATGACATTTTTAAAACTGACATTTTTTATTAATTTACCGCATTATATTATAATGCGGTAAATTAATAAAAAATGTCAGTTCCTTTATTCAATGATTTACGTTTAGAATATTAATGTGCAGTAATTGTTTATAATTCGTTACAAGAGATCTCGTACTATAATTCTATTACGACATCGCCAAACGCCAATGATTAGCCATTTTTAATTAACAGATTACGAACTTTTAGCAAAATGACAATGGAATCGTGTAGGAATGACAACACTTTGAAAATAGTAGACCTAGGGCCCAGCACTCGTACGAGAGTAGAATGGTCAAACCACATAATACCACATTGTTGTTTTTGTGACTGGCAACTGAGATAGAATCGTATGAAAGTCCGAACTATTGGAACCGGTCCTAAAGTTAGACCACCAGTTGTATTCGGCTATACAGATAATTACGCTCATAGATATATACTAACTAGGTTATTTCCTTTGAGGTTTCATCGATTTTCTTTTCACAAACATATGTATAGTTAGTTATCTACTGTATTGAGGGCTTTTAATTTATAAGCATTAGGTATAGGCTTCAGCCGCATAAAATGTCTCGTCAGAGAAAATTTGGTCATTTTTATTTCTTTATTAAACTAAATAAAAAAAATCTATGCAGGCGGACAATAGGTATAACATTCGCCCTTTAGGTATTGCATAGATGAAAATCTGAAGAAGATGAAATTGAATGAAATCAGAATATTATAGCTAAGAATAGCATAATAGAATTGGCAATTGACATTTCTCTTGTTCGACTGAATAAAATTACTCTGCAGGTAAGAAGTCTTTTCAAACAAAGCGAGAATCTAAGAGCTACCTGAAACGTAGCTCGCGGACAAAGATGAAAGCAAGAAAGTACGTTAAATTGAAGTGAACTTAGTTAGGCAGTCATCAGTGTGGTTCGGTCACGTCCGCCCGTCTGCAAGGGAACCCGAGGGGAAAAATCCTGAGAGTGGTGATTGAGTTAGCGCCCGAGTCGAGGAAATGGCCATCCCCTGTCGCTTGTGTAACGCAATACCGCGACTACCGACCACCCATTTGCACGGGATTCTGTTACCAGACTGACTTATTTCCTGGAAGGGATATTGTCGCGTTGCCAACCCTATTATTTTATTTTCTTTAATATTTATCCTCATTTTTAGTATCCTATGTGAAAGCAAGTTTTTCTGTTGGCTCTTGTGCGTTATTCAAGTTCTTGTTAAAATTTTGCATACATATAGTTGGAATTACGGAGATGTACGTGTGTAATTATCAAACATGAAAATATTCTCGAAATAAGCATATAGGATATATATAACTAGCTACTGTCACGTGGTTTCACCCGCTGATCGGCTCCATTTGATCGTAGCGTGATGTTTTATAGCCTATAGCACTTAGGAACATTGTAGCTATCCATCAGTGTAAGAATTTTGGAAAGCGGTTCCAAAGATTTCCCCTGCATACAAACTTACAAATGTACAAACTTACAAATTTTACCTCTTTATAATATTGGTATATATATAATTAATGTTTGTACAATCGAATCATTATTTGTTTAAGTAAACTAAAAGTCTTACTTATAATTCGTTTTAAATGTCATAGCATTCTGATAACAAACGAATTCTAGAACAGAACCATCAATAGGTACGTATAAGAGATATCATAAATTTTATCAACAGGAAAACATCCAATATACATAATATCGAAAAATAGCTCAATGAATCACCACCACAGTTATAATATCATTCTTCATTAAACACTGCAATGAATTTAAAACTCTAACTAAAAGTCCGACAGTCCACTTTTCAATAAAGCACTCAAGTCTATTGGCATTCTCTGACGTATTTTAGGTGAAATGCGACTTCTAATTACTTTAGTTCAGTGAACAACTGTGTTCGTGACGTAGATCCCACAAACGGAGCTCATTCAGAACAAATGAACTAGGTTTCAATGGCGACTTCGGTGTAAGTGCCTTCAAATAAAGCTCCTGATATCGAACGAAATTTGATGTTGGAAATAAAATCGAAAAGTGTTCTGATTTGTTCCGCTTGTTATTGTTTCGAGTTGTTTGGGTATTATTTCATATACAAGACTTACCTATGTATTTATTGGAATTTGTATTTTATGCTCGCTATTTTAATGTCTGAAGTAACTCTTTTAAGTACATTAAAGTAGTTATAGCAAAATGCAACAAAACATCTTTCAGTAACATTTTTACTTACGCCTTTTATTTTATTCACTGTTATATATTTACTCTTCATACGTATCTGTAGATATGTTCTTTTTTTTAAGGGACAATATCATTATATTACCTATGTACTAGGAGACCCAGTCACGCGTTGCTGTGGCTAAGGTAAATAATATTGTGACTACAAATTAAGCAAGCTATCCTATCTTTCAAGTTGTATCAAAATGCTCACGAAATGCAAATCAAATTTAAAATCGGTTTAGTAGTTTAGGAGTCAATCGCGGACAAACACGTGACAGGGAATTTTTATATGTAAAGATTACTTTTACCCTGGGTGGAACGTGACGTGAGGATGTGTTGGACTCTTAATGATTGAAAAACCGCCCTGTTCCTTCTGCTGGTCTGGGCCGAGACCGGGGTTCATTTTTGCGCTAGCACTTGCTGCCTTGGACATCGACCCTAATGGGCTCCATTTGAGGTGGCTAATGGCTCTTTGAGTTGCGCGCGTAACGCGACGCGCTATACGTTTGGACCTGGTTTGGGTCGGACTTCGAGCTACACTTTCTCGCCGACCACAGACCCGCGATCACGGCGACTATCTGTAGCTATGTAACAGTTTAAATAGCATCTACTAATGAGGCAATGCGCAAATAAAAATAAAAACTATGTTTATTAATTGACATGACAACTAAAGCAGACAATTATTACAATAGCTCTTAATAACAGTAGTACCTACTTATGCGCGATCTGACATTTGAAAAGAAAATCTATGAAGACACAAAGAAAATCATAACCTAGTATATATGTATGAGCGTATACTAGATAGAGTTAATAAACGTAATTATCTGTATAGCCGAATACAAGTGGCCGTCTTACTTTAGGGCCGGTACCAATACTTCGGACTTTCATACGATTCTATCTCAGGTGCCAGTCACAAAAACAACAATGAGGTATTATGTGATTTGACCATTCTACTCTTGCACGAGTCAATCGATATATTCTCAATCGATTATCAACAAGACCAAGACGGTTTAGTTGTAGAGGCTTTTGATTCATCATCATTTTGATCATCAGCCTATAATCAAAATGATGATGATTTTGATTACTGTTCACTACTACACAGCAAGGAACACGCCTGTGTATGCATGTAATTTAGATCTCTCCAAGGCATTTGACCTTGTAAATTATGATGTTTTATGGAGCAAACTTCAGAATGTTGAGGGACTCCCTGCTGAATTAATTTGGTTGCTTAAATATTGGTACAGTAATCAAGAGAATACTGTTCGATGGGCAGGCACTTTATCTGAAGTGTACAGGTTGCAGTGTGGGGTGAGGCAGGGGGGGTTGAGCTCGCCATGCCTCTTCAACCTGTACATTGATGGTCTGATTGGGGAGCTCAGCGGCGCCGGTCTCGGATGCTCAATAGACGGAACTTGCATAAATAACATAAGTTACGCTGACGATATGGTGCTGTTGAGTCCCTCAGTCAGAGCTTTAAGGTGTCTTTTGAACATTTGTGAGGCGTATTCGGAGGCTCATGGACTGAGATATAACGCCAAAAAAAGTGAATTTATGATATTTAAGGCGGGAAAAAAACAATATCGTGCGCCCGTGATCACTCTTTGCGGCACACCACTTAAACAGGTGAGTAAGTTTAAGTATCTTGGTCACTGGGTCACCGACGACTCGTCGGATGTTATGGACATCGAGAGGGAACGAAGGGCGCTGTCTGTGCGGTGTAATATGCTCGCTCGTAGGTTCGCACGTTGTACAAGAGACGTAAAAATTACTTTATTCAAGTCATACTGCCAGACACTGTACACGTGCGGGCTATGGGTGAATTATACGCATCGCGCGTACAGCGCCCTTCGCGTCCAGTATAACAACGCCTTCAGGGGAATGGTGGGGCTGCCGCGGTGGTGCAGCGCATCTGCCATGTTCGCGGAAGCGCGCACACAGGATTTTTTCGCTGTGATGCGCACGCGCTGCGCCTCATTGCTGAGTCGAATGCGGATCAGCTCTAACGTTCTCCTGAAGACCTTGTCTGAACGGTGGGACACACCAATGCTGCAGGCGTGGATGGGGTTGCACTCTCTTTGCAACAGGAGATGAGTGGCTCCCCTTTCATGCCGATTACTTTAGTTTAGTTTAATTTTCTTTTCTTTTGTTACGTACTAACATTATTTTTTAAGAATGTAAAGTTAATACTAACAAAATGGAACCTGATTTCCGAAATAAACGATTATTATTATTATTATGTGTGTTCCTTTCCACTCACGGGACCACAGGGTCCCGGACTTTTGGAAGGCGTACGAGGGGCCGAAGCCAACTCGCAGAGGCCCTTTGAACAACTTTAATATAAGTGAAATGGGACATCAGCCGGCAATTATCCCTGTATGCACTATGAAAGTGCACCCAAGGACAATCCCCGGTTGATGCAGGACTATTGCGAAATGTGGTAAAAATTTAAAGGGTTATGGGTATGGGTTGCTATGGACTGGTGAATATGATAACTATGGAAATACTATGGCCCCTGCCCCTGACCAATATTGATACATACGGATAAACAGGCAGGGGGTGACTGGCAAACTCAATTAATGGGCCCCCGGAAACGGCCGCTAGCATGTAGCGACAAGGGGGCAACATACGTTGAGCTGCTTGGGGAAGGAGAGGTATCCCACGGCTATCAGAGCAATCCTATTATTATAAGTGCCCACTGCTGAGCAAAGGCCTCTTCCCACACGGAGAAGGTTTGAGTATTAATCAAACGCTTGCTCAATGCGGGTTGGTGATTACAAACTTAAAATAAGAAATATAAGTCCAGGTTTCCTCACGATGGTTACCTTCACAGTATGTCAGTGGTGTCTAAATAATCGTAGAAAGTACATATAATTCGGAAAAAGTCACATTGGTACTTGCCAGGTTTAGAACCCACACCTAATGCATGAGAAGCGGGCTCCTTAATCTCCGGGCCACCACGACACATGAGGAAAACATTGTATGTTTACTTTGATGTCTGTAAAAAAGCGAATGACGTGTCATTGCGATAGACAGTACTATCGTACTAGTCATAAGGTATTACCTACGTTTGTGCAACGGATGACGTCACGAACTCGAATGTGTTGTCTTATTTCACACGCTGTAGTGTCGGCTCGTTAGCTCAGCGGTTAGAGCGCCCGATTAAATTTAAAATTAAAAGAGGTGGTCGGGGGTTCAAATCCCTCACGAGCTGCAACTTACTTTATGAAAATTTTTTCTTCCGCTTTTTCATCGATTTTAAGCATATAGCGATTTATCTAGTAGTGGAGTACATGTAAGTTAACACATCTTTAAAGTTTCGAATATCGAATTAACAATAACGTCGTCAGCTGCTTCTTCGAATGACTTTATTTGTTTAAAAGATATTCATTATCTTTCTGTCTTTAAGGAATTTTTGCATGTTGTTCCCAACTATATTCTTAATGGGTTGCTCAGCAATGGTACGGTCTATTTTTTTGACTGCTACCCACCCCGCAGCGTGCTACACCACGCCATGCCAAAACTTAATAAAAAATTAAAACCCTCTACAACTTAACCGTCTTGGTCTTGTTGATTTGGTTCAGAAATGTAATTATAGTCTGTTCGTCGGTGAATCTAAGTGCTTGTTCCAAAATGTACGAAGAATGACCAAAAAATTCATGGTTACATCAAAAAAATCACTACATAGTATAATTTTTTTCTGTTCCTGTGTCCCTTTGTACGCTTAAATCTTTGAAACTACGCAACGGATTTTAATGAGGTTTAATTTAATAGATAGAGTGATTCAAGAGGAAGGTTTATATGTATAATAACACCAATTAAATAATGGGAAAGTACTGTTATTTTTGATATTTCTAATGTGATGTCGTAAATAACTAGATTTTTTCCTCTTACATACATACACAAACGCAGGCTGAACCCTACGAGTTTTATCAAATAATGAACTTAGTATTGTATATATTGAAAAGGTCTACAGAAAAGTCCGTGATGGTATAGGTCTACTAGGGTCTCTTATGGATAATCCACAATAACTTTTTTGTCATTTACTTTTTACAACAAATAATGGCTAATTTTCGAAGCGATTTTAACCAATACAGCATTAGTCCTTAACCAATTAAATACCTTGAATACATTGTTCATTTAATATAGATCTATATGGCCCTTTACACCGTATGATTTAAGTGATTATTCATGAAGATATGACAGATTTAAAGAACTTTTCAATGGCGAAGACAAGGTAATACGGTTGGTGGTTTCCCCGGAGTAAAAAAAACGGATGCTCTTGGCAAAGTCCACGCGGTTCTTTTTTTAAAAAAAAAAAAAAAAAAACGTTGCCCCACATTAGGATTTTCTCCTGTGTCGTGGGTGCGTTTACAAACATACAATTTCACATGCACATCACACCCAGACCCGGAACAACAATCTGTGGATCACACTAAGAGTTGTATCGTGCGGGAATCGAACCCGCGACACGTTGCGCGGCAGCCAGTTGCCCAGCCACCGCGCCAACCGTGCAGTCAATTGTTCATCCCAACAACAGCGAGAATCCACCTAAAAATGGCACGCGTTTGCTGGTAAAATCATTGAAAACTTTCATTATAGAGTGCACAATACAGGATGTGGTACCGGAGAAGATGTATTGATTTCTCGAATCACTCTGATATCAACGGATCTACCCTTCCAATTTAAATGTTTATAGTTTCCGGTAAAGACATCTTTTGCAATCTTTCAAGAGTGACCTTTCCAGAGAAAACATGTTTGTTTTGTCTAATGACAAGAAAGCTGTGAACGTTGTTTATGAAGGAGTTCCGTTCTATAATGTGTTGTAAAAAAAATAATAAAAATAATCCGACTTCAAAAAGTAAACTAAAAAGCAAAATATAAATTTTCTTTGTAGAAATTAATACATGTTTTCATTTAGTTAAATAGAAAATAATATTAATAACCATTTTATTATCTTGAAGTCGGTGCCAAGTGAATCAACAAAGTCATACCAAAACAACAACAGTATTAGAAAAATGTATTGATCGGTACCTCCTAATAAGATCGGACCAGAACGAGCAACTCCATGGTTACCCTTTTTATATCAGTTTCACATATAAATTATTTGGTACATTATTTAGTTGGTTTCATTATGTGAGAACATTGTATTTATTCAGTAAAACATAAAAATACACTGAAACCATAATTAGTGCAATAAAAATAAATTCATTTATGAATGCACCAGTGAAAAGACACGCCCATGGTGGTCGCTAAGTCTATAACCACTCTATGTTTATTAAAGACCCCTTGATAATACCAAGAAATAGATTCATTATAAAGAATAAAAGAAAATGTCACATGCCAATCTTGCTATGCTACACATTATTAAATTGATTCCTTTGAAGGGGATTAATTAACAGGCGTTTATTGGAAGCCACGCAGATACATATGTATTCATTGACATATTTCTTTCTTTCGGTTTTATAGGAACCTTTGTATTCATTTTTCTTTGTTATGAAACTGAATATTTGTGTATCATTCTGTTATTAAAACCACTGGTAAGGCGTCGAACATAATATCGTGTTTAATTAGACAGTATTAATTCGTTTTTATGTCTTAATCATTGTAAGATACTTATATATTAAAAACTTTTTCTTTCACTGTTACCTTCTCTGGACAACAAACCAACACAAAAAATAATTCGCTTAATTGGTCCGAGCAAGAGTTGAATTACGCGCTTGCTTACCAATACATTTTGCGATTTATTTCTGTATATAGGTACATATTATTACATATTATGGATAATAAACTTGCTCAATTGAAATAGGCTTCGGGATGCAGCTGTCAATAAGAGCCCCGTTGGGACTTGAAACTAGTAGAGAGTTTTGTTTTTACAATTCACACATGTGATTTAGTCGTAACTTTAAATCAATTTAAAAACAGTACGTACATTACTTTTTTGATTTTATAGATTTTATCGGAAGTCAAAACTTACTCCAGCAATAAAACTATTTTTTTATCAAAAAAAAGTCGAAATAGGTAAGTATGTTGTACTAAAACAACTTCATTCACTCATTCATTCATTATTCAAAGAAATAGCAAGGACTTAATTAAAGCGACATTTTGTGAGTTATTATTGTCGCAGTGACAAAGTATAAAGGAAGTTAGCCTCGCAAAGGTGTGCAGTTAAAGGCAGCTCGAACATTGCTAATTAGAAGTGGTGCTGCGCAATGCACAAAGTTGCTGCTGCCTGCCATACTCCTACTGCACTTTACTCAGAAACATTTTTCCGCCGCGACTCAGGGCAATGCCGACGTTTGCGTCTTTTTGTTTGAACTAGCTAGTTATGTGTGACATACTGGCCTTTTGAATTACCAACTGATTAAATTATGTAAGGGCAGCTCGCCGCCCGACCAGAACCAGGCCCGAGCGTACGGCGCGTAGCGTTCCGCGCGCGCCTCAAAGAGCCATTAGACCACCACAGATGGGGCCCTAAAGGGCTGATGTTCAGCCGGGGTTGCGGGGTAAGCGCAATGAGGCACCGCGACCTCGGCCCAGAGCAGGAGAAGGAACAGGGGGGTTTTTAGTCAGTAAGAGTCTGACACTCCCTCCTGCCCGGCCCTGGGCGGGAGAAGTCATTTGATGATTTTCCACTCACAAAAAAAAATAGGGCAATTTTCCATTTATCCACTATGGAAACAAAAGGAGAAGAGGAATTTAAGGGTGATGAGTTGACTACATTTTTAGGACGATTAGCGTTCAACAGTTTTCAATGCATTACTGAGTTTGATATTATAGAAACGAGTATTAGAAATTAAGTTACACCTTATATATATACATTTTTATTAAGATTTGTCCATTTCGCTACTTTAGAGCAAAAATAGAGAATATTTTTAAAAATTTCTTATTGACGTACATATAATATGTAAAATTCTCGTGTCACAATGTAAGTTACCTTACTCCTTCTAAACGGCTTTATTAAGTTTTACCAATTTTGTTACGCATATTCGTACGTATGTTTATAAATCGGCTACTGGCTATTCTCCATAAGCGGAAAAAAAACATAAAAATAAAAAAACATAATACATTTTTTTCGAAAAATTTTTAAAGCAATACACTTTTGCCGACTCAGATAGTATACTATATAAGTTATATTATATAAGTTAAAATAAACTCAGATGTATCACAGAAACATAGACTTTATTAACTGTGATACAAATGTGTTTTATTAAAAAGTCATTGAACAAAGGCGTCGCAACGAACTCAGAAATCGTGTTCAAAATTTGTTTCAATATTTTATTATGTTCAGTATTTCGCAAGAGTGTATTTTAATTTTGATGGGAATCAGGTGCGGCTCGTATAACTTTACGGCCGTATGTTCGTAGTATTTCGTACTGTATAGCTATGCCCAGCCTTTCACGTTACCTTTTAGCTTTTACATTGTGAAATTGGTGTTGTTCTCGTTAATAAACTTTTTCTTTGTGATCCGTTCATTTTGGTATGTTCTTTATATGCACATAGTTTTGGTAGCTTCCTTTTATCCATGAAAGGTTAAACAAGTTAAGCTATTGGGTCACAGAATTATTCGAAAATTTTTATGTGTCAAAAAGTCGGCTTAATAATTGTATGGCCACGGAGTAATTATTCAAATTGATTTTTTCAACACACGCATCGTTTTTTGAACATACCATTACAGTAAGTTTTATAACGACAACATCACAAGAACGGCTAAGTCATGAGTGTATACAACGTTGCCTGAAAATGGAACGTAGTGTGCGTTATTGCATATTGGGATGAAAAATGTTTTCATAAAAATCTCACCGAGTTCGCTCAGCGGCGCTCACTGATCTTTTAATCTCTTAATTACATGAGGGCAGAATACGCGGGGATTTCACCAAAAATAACCATGCAAAATGGATGGTTACCCCGCCCCGCGCACCTCGTGAATATGAATTATTCTTTCGTAGCTACAGCTTGGACGCATATTTACATTTTATATGAGTGCCTACGACGCTCAGCGTGCCCATTTCACTGGGTTAGCGTTTTTGTTGCGCTATGGTTGGTGGATTTTTCGTGAGCGGTATGGTTTTTATTCTATTTTTGGCACGATTCGTCATCAATCCCGTTCACACAGAAGAGGGTATATTTCCCGGGGCCATTTCCACACGTCGATTGGGAATCCCAATACGCGGTTTTATTGTTAATCCATAGCTGAAAACTCCGGTACTTGCACTACGGCTTATCACGATAAATGCCTGCTTACTGTTTCGCAAAGTTACCTCCGTTACGAACGCCACTGAGAACGAAGCAGCTCGTAGTAAAATTTCAATATCCGCCAAAATATGGCATTTCATTTGGCTCCCTCTGAAATGCCAAGACGGGATATAAAAATGTAATGGGTTTCTTTCTAATTATTTATGTTCCTAATAGAATGGGCCTCTCTTTGATATTAAACCTATAAACCAGTACATTTTTTCCTGTCTGGCCTTCCATAAAAAGCGCCTTTTTATAGGCTTTGCAATAAAGAAACATTTTTTTTCAATATCAAAACGAATGAAAACAGGCTGGCTAAGTATGAGTTGTTTATTAATTTAATGGTGGAAATGTTTAATGTTTTAACTTCATCAGATCGAGATAATGTATAATCAGATGCATAGGAGTGTGAGTGAGCCTTCCGTGGGCACTGTAGGAAATACGTAAGTAAATGTTGAACAAAACTAAACATTTATCTTAAAACTAATACTTAATGAAAATTCGACTTTATTACCAGGACGATAGGCACAACTGCCACTGACAGAAATGACCACTATAATCGATCAAAGCATAAGAAAGAAAAGACCGTTGGGAAGTTCTTATGGGAAGGACGATTCAAACGCTTTACCTATGCTGTTATTATGAGCGCTTGGAATCAGAGATTTCAGGTATAAGTACTGTACTTATAATAAATCTATTGTATGCTTCGAAACCAGGGGTCCATGGGCGACGGTGATCACTTTTCATCAGGTGATTTCTCTACTAGTTTGTCTCACATTCCAAAAAAGCAAAACTAACTAGACTTAAAAACAGCTGGACTGAATATAATGAAATGTTATCTTTTAGCTAACGGAAATAGATACACTTTTTTGTAAGAATAAAAATAATGTCTTCATTGTTGAAATCCGTTCCTCTTTATAAACTTTCCCATTATTATTATTATAACTGTCGTGAGACACTAAATTAATTTTTATGTTTTCGGCTTATTCACGTAATTATTTGACGAGGAACTCGACTAGTTTCATACCTAGACTAGAGGCCCATGTTCATGAGCAGTATTCGGCGACACGCGTCGCGGGGACTGTCGCACTCCTACTGCAGCAGTAGCAGCGCGACAGTGTGAGTAAGCCGAAAACATAATAATTACCTTTCACATTTATGATATCACAGAAGACGCGATAAGGAAGTCCTTTAAGCAATTTCTTGTTTCTTTCAGGTATTAGTTCTTCTGTCAGTGGTATACATGTTTGTGGTGCACTTCATTCTTGCCTTTTACTTCGACGAAACCCAGTTTTTAGTGCTAGAACTTTCTTTGATTTGGGCTGAACTCTTCTTCCTTCTGGATGTGTTAGTTCATCTTCTTCACAGTTATTGGTCATTGGTTCGTCTCCACGTCAGAGTATATCGAAGAAATATATTCTGTTTGGCTTATGATGTTATTTCGCTTGTGCCTTTGACTCTTATATGTAAGTTGTAGTTGACTTAGTAATATTATCTTGTTAAGTTCCTTATAGCGATATGTAGTTAATAAATGTACTTATAGAAAAAAAAATGTGCGGAGTGTCATTAGTCTTGCTGTATTAGCAATTGATCTATGACGGAGAGCCATACTTCGGCACAAATGGGTCGCCTCGACTGCAGTTATACCACGGCCTCACAGAAAACCGGCGTGAAACAACCATAGGGTTGTGTTTGGCCGAATCCCAAAATCTCCAAATCCCTAATCCCCAAAAGGTTTACAGCGCACTCGTAACTCTTCCGTTGTTGCGGGTGTCCATGGGCGGCGATGATAGGACTGCTCGTTTGCCGTCACTTTTAAAGTTTTTTTATTAAGGAAGTTAACTGTTTTTAATTGTTTTGGAAATAACACCTCTGATAGAACTCTATAAAATTGAACATATTTTGTTTTCAGTTAAGGGGACACCTGGGTACGAGAATGTTGTGTTAACTGGCAGGTGGTTGCAGATAGGAAGAATTTATAGACTATTCGTATTCTTCCAAGTTATAAATGAGCAAGTAAGATGTTCATTAACAAAATAAACAATATTATGTAAAATAGGAAATGGTTTTATAAATACTTATTCACAGTTACCGTATGTATAGTTTTAGTGATAGAAGAACGCAAATAAATGAATATGAATATGAATAGAATATAATAATTATAGCTACTAAGTTTAACTATATTGTCGTAACTAGACCATTTTGACTTTTAAAAGCAAACTTATCTATGGTTGGCACTGATTGTTCACCATTGGGTTGGGCGAGGTATCTATTCGGTTGGACGAGGAGGGAGGCAAACTCTACTCTAAAAAAAAATATGATAAACTAGCTTCCGTCCTCGGCCTCGCCCGCGTTGTATATCGATAAAAAGTAGCCTATACTGGATTATGTCCCATGCCTGTGCCAAATTTCTTCCGGATCCGTCCAGCCGTTTTGGCGTGATTGAGTAACAAACATCCAAACATCGTAACTTTCGCATTTATAATATCAGTAAGTAAGAAATTTTGATTCCACAGATGCGGAAATCACGTCGAATATTATTCTTTAGTGAGCAATTTGTAGCCGTTACGTTGATCCTTCATGCAACCAGTTGCATTTGGTATGCTCTGAATAAGGTGCCACAATTGGAACATCCTTGGCATAACCTTGGATATCCACAGCATGTTTACTCAAGAAGGTTACAGTTTTATAAGTATGTCTAAGTTTGTTTGTTGAAAATTAACTGCCTGTTTTGTTCTATTAACTGTCGTGGCGTCATGCATGAGAGTTCGAAACCTGGCAAGACCAATGTGACTTTTTCTGCGTTATAAATATGCTTTCTATGATTGTTTTGACGCTACTGACATATTGTGAAGGAAAATGTCCTGGACCTATAATTTCTAATTATTCTCACGATCACTGACATACGGTGAAGGAAAACCCTTCACCGTATGTCAGTGGTGTCTAAATAATCATAAAGAACACGAAAGCATACACTACACAGAAAAAGTCACATTGGTACTTGACTGGTTTCAAAACCGCACCCTCATACCTACATGAGAAGCAGGCGCCTTGACCTGTAGACAACCACGACATTATTTGAGTATAACATTAAATTAAGCCTTATTATTTCTATAGTTACAGATCATGTTGGTATTACTGCACTGGTCGCTTCTTTAATGTCACATTTGGAGATTCATTTCCTGTGGTAACAGTTTTGTATTACTATGGTATAATTGAGAAATTGATTAATTGAAAAAAAAAAAACATTTAGATACTTGGAGTTATTAAATATTAAAACAAACATTATTTTTTAATTTTGTAGTCATTAGTTTATGCGTTACTAAAAAGTTGTTTTATTTACACACAGCGTGACATGGAGAAGTGGTTGACAATGTTGTTGATGTTCGTCGGTTACGTATTCTTTCGCTTTCGTTTTATTGGCACTCTCGCATGGGAACTGGTCCTCGAAAGTTCTAGAAGAGAACACTACGTTGACAGAGTGAGCTTGCTTTTATAACATTTGTGTTGTTGTGTTCATTTTAATTGTATCAATATTAAACTCCTTAACAACAAATCAATTATGTATCTGCACAGATAATAATTATGTAAGCCGAACATTGTGGCCTTTAACCATTTTCGAAAACATTGATAAATAACATATTAATATGTGAAAACGGTTGCAAATTAATAATTCAACAGAAAGCCTAGCATTAATATTCATGATCTGATTGCAGAGTTTTTAATCCTTATGAATAATTGGCGGTAAATTGAGATTAATATTAATTTAATTTCAGTACCATCACATGATGGAGTATCTAAACTTTAATAAGGCGCCATCTTGGCTCGTGGAACAGTGTAAGAACTATAAGCTTCAACTGTGGAACATGAAGGGGGGGATACTAAGATCGGACCAACTACAGAAACTGCCTCTGCCATTACAGATGGAACTAATCTTCGACATTAACGTCGGGAATTTCCATAACTCCATGCTATTTAGAGATACTCGTTAGTGTAATTTGTACTATATCTTCTATCCATAACGGAATAACTTTATAATAGGAGTCTCAAAGTTTGCATTGAATTCAATACCTTTGTAAATCCAGGGGAAGTTCGTAAAAACGGAGGCGTTTACTTTGTAGCTTCTGATAATGATATTGTATAGGATGGAAGTTTTCGTTAATTAAGAGCTGCTTCGTGCACATTTTATTAAAGTTCGTTAGTCTTCTATTGTTGGTTTAAGTGGAACATCCTTGGGAGAAATCCTTGAGGTTTTCAGAACTCGAGGTTTTTAGTAGTTTTCTGTAAATTATCATACTGATGTTATTCGTAGTACCGTTGAAGGTGATTGATGAATATTGCCATTCTGTTATTGCCTATATTTTTTGCATATCATCCAGTATTGTAGAATTCATTTTATCATTTCTTTTTTAAGAATCTCTGCTCCTTGTAGTTCAAGAACTATATTTTTTTTATAACTTATTTTATCAATTTATAGAGGAATCGTTTATGCGTCAAATCTCTCTGTTGATGAACCACGAGTTGTACTTGGCTGGACAGCATATATGGAGCCAGGGTGTTGTAAAAAATGGAATGATTTGCATCAAGAGAGGCGTCATAGAAATGCTGTCTGATGAAGATGACGAGAGTCCGATGATTGCGTTCAGAGATGGAACTGTTAGTAATATCCCGAATATACTTAAATATTAATTTAAAATAAATCAAGAACTGGCTTGGCCTGCTTGATACCAGAAAATCAGCCTGGACAAACGCTTGCGTAGTATTTTTTCTTGTGAGTGGGCTTATCGAATGCTCAATCGGGCAGGTTCTCCCTCTAAACTTAATTATCAAATTATCACCTAATTATCAAATCCATTAGGGATTAATAATCAAATCCTGGAGGGATTAAATATCAAGTCCTTTAGGGATTAATTATCAAATCCTTTAGGGATTAAATATCAAGTCCTTTAGGGATTAATTATCAAATCCATTAGGGATTAATTATCAAATCCTTTAGGGATTAAATATCAAGTCCTTTAGGGATTAATTATCAAATCCTTTAGGGATTAAATATCAAGTCCTTTAGGGATTAATTATCAAATCCTTTAGGGATTAAATATCAAGTCCTTTAGGGATTAATTATCAAATCCTTTAGGGATTAAATATCAAGTCCTTTAGGGATTAATTATCAAATCCTTTAGGGATTAAATATCAAGTCCTTTAGGGATTAATTATCAAATCCATTAGGGATTAATTATCAAATCCTTTAGGGATTAATTATCAAATCCATTAGGGATTAATTATCAAATCCTTTAGGGATTAAATATCAAGTCATTTAGGGATTAATTATCAAATCCTTTAGGGATTAAATATCAAGTCCTTTAGGGATTAATTATCAAATCCTTTAGGGATTAATCATCAAGTACACTTAATTTTAAGAAAATTGGTATCGGAATTTAAAAGTGCTTCTCTCTCTCTCTCTCTCTATCTCTGTAAATTATTAATTATTTTTTTAGAATATTCTAAACTAACTTTTAGAGCTTAATATATTGCGTGTGAGTACCAAGTTTCACGAAAATCGGTTCAGTAATTTCAATGGTTTTGGTTTAGAAAGTTTGTATGTAAACCGGGCCACGTAATGTAAACAATGAAATCTTTCCTCTCAATAATATTAGTGTTGATATTTGTTTGTTAAACCAAGACTTGAAGTAAAGTATGAATAGGGAATAGGTATTCAACGAAAGGTTAGATTTCTAATAATCATTAGGATCCAAGGCTTTCTATTCTATTCAGATCTTCATTGATACAACAAAACTTTACATTCTGAGAACCTTGGTTATTATTAAGAGAAATGTGCAAAAAAAATCTGTTTATCTTTCTACTAGAACTTTTTACATATAGTTAGTACTTATTTAAATCCTTTGATTCTTGAAAATATATGCTTGATACGTTTTATAGAGTTCACTCCACGTTTAAATTAGCCGGGATTGCGGGGTAAGCGCAATGAGGCACCGCGGCCTCGGCCTAGAGCAGGAGCAGGGTCTTTTTAGTCAGTAAGAGTCTATCATTTCCTCTCGCCTCAACTTGGGCGGGGGAAGTCATTTGATGGTTTTACCCTGACAAAAACTAAAAAGGTCAGTTAAGAGTTTTTTAAAGAGGCCGTTGTAAATTAGGCCGAGTTGACGAAGACCAAGCGATAAACCTTGTATTGTAGATGCACATAAACTAAGGTTATTGATCTCTTATAGGTATCCTAGTTATCAATGCTTTAAAAAATCTCTCTGCCAAAAACACGTGAAAGATCTTAAATCCAAGAGCAACTTACAAAACGAATGAAAATCTTTGCTAAACAGTGAGATCCGACTTTAAGTTTAACTACAAAAAGTTCTTTTTAAATTGGTTTCTAAGTACACCGGCCAGTCACTAATGAAGGTCTTCGCTCACTAAGTAGGTGACATAAGTATCAAGTAATTAAATTTTACAGGTGCTTGGGGAGCTAAGCTTATTCTACTCAATACCATCCAAAGTTACCGTGAAAGCAGCTACTTACGTAGAATTACAGGTAAATGAGGTCTTACTTAATTAAGTGATTTCTAAGTAACTTAGTATTTAGTTTACCTTTTCCGTATGCAATCGACATGGATGCATGTCTCTAAGAATAATTTAATTAAATAAATGTAAATGAAAATCTAGATGGTGGTCAGATAATATGAAGTAAGTGAGAAAAAGATATTTATTGTAGGTATATAGGTAAAGGTAACGAGAAACAGAAACAATATGCAGTGTTATCCACCATTTATTTTGAGGTACATTTAACACATCAACAGCCTATAGGGCTCACTGTAGAGCAAATGCCTTTGTTACGGAGAAGGTTTGATTATTAGTCACCCATCTGGCTCCTAAGTGGATTGGCGATTTCAATCAGGGTCAATTCAGGCGCGCAATGTGTCGCGGGTTCGATTCCCGCACGGAACAACAGACTGTTTGTGTGATCCACAGATTGTTGTTCCGAGTCTGGGTGCGATGTTTATGTGAAACTGTATGTTTGTAATCGCACCCACGACACAGGAGAAAATCCTAATGTGGGGCAAGTTTAAAAAAAATAAAATAAAAAAAACTATTTTACGGGCTTTTTGCTATTGAAGATGGTATGTTTTTATTCATTTTGAATTATACGATTGCACAGGTTTTAAGAAGATCAGACTTCATGCGAGTAATTGCAGAGCATCCGGCGATGTTTGATCTGGTAAAAAAGAAAATTGTTAGTAGACTCAAGACTGCAAGGACAAGACAAGTAAGAAAGTTATTTAGACTTGACAAGGCAGAAAGCTATTTTCAGAATGTACGTAATAGATGTCGAGACAGACACGGCATAGAGTTACATTGTGTAGCTTTGTATTCTTCTAAGAGTTAGGTTCAGGTGTATTACTAGTCTGTCAACGTCGTTGTTGGCCATGCAGGTAAGAAAATAAACATTCCCTCAGTACAGATACTGTGGCTATTGTTTTCCTACATTAGAAATGGTTGAATAAAGCCATATCTCTTTTAGCTAGTGGTCGGCTTAGTAGTCAACAATAGTTATATGTACTGAGACGATTTTTGTACCTACGTTCTAAATTGTGGAGACTTTATGCTTAAATCATTGAATATCATTCATATGTATTAGAAGGTTATCTATCTACTGATAGTTAAAATAAAATAAATGTCAAGCCAAAATAGACCTTAAGAAAATGAGACCTTTGCTGTAAACCCTCGAGGAATTCTCTGGATTGTCATTCAGCTCTATCAATGTGCTGCTTTAAAATACATCACTTTATGAAGAAACAGACTTGGCGTCCTTAATGCCTTACTGAGACTTCCCCTTGGCTTCCTTGGGATCCCATTTCCCGGGACTTCTGACCCTGGCACCACCGACAAAAATTTCAAATACCAACTTTCGAACCCAAAATAATCATGATTAACGTAGTTATATGTACGGTCCGTCATAGTCGCATTTCTATTTCTACTGTAGTTCGCGCACTATATCCGTCATCCATCACTCGATTTTTTTCAATGGAATATCCGAGTTCTGTCCTAATTTCCTAGACCTGTATTTTCACGGTTTCGGGTCAGATTCGGATCAAGCGTAGTGAAAGCGTTATAGCTTTGCTTCCTGTACGTACAGTTTGTTGTGTTAATTAATATGTGTAAGGTTTCAAATACAACAAAATAGTAAGATGTCTGGAATTAATTCATGGCACTCATAATGTAAGTGATAATATTTAGGTCTACAATAAATTAGCAAATAATAAATCTCAAAGTCAAAATCATTTATTCCAACTTAACCATAAATAGGTACTTTTGAAACGTCAAAATAGAATAGTAGTCTGTCAGTCTGTTCGTCAGTGAAGCTAGGTGCTCATTTCAAATTGAAGATTCGAATGGAGAAGAACTAGCACTAAACAACATCGTTACTCTTTAAAAAAATATTTACAAAATACTTTTATTCGTGACATAAGGTACCATGAATGAAATAAATTCAGTCTATAATTAAGGTAAACTACAGACATTTTTTAATTGAAAGATACTTTAATATTCCTTACTACACGAACTAAACTTTATTGGGCTACATAGAATTGTCTAGTAAGTTGGTCTATGTAAACACTGTTCTACAAGTCTTAAAGTTTTATCAATTAAGAAGTTAACTACAGAGTATTTTATGAAAACAGAGCATAACGAAAAAGCAAAGTTGTTTCACAATCTGGGTAGCCATTTTAAAACAGTTTACAATGTTCATTTCGAGTTTCAGTTGTAGGTTTTAGTTTCAGCCACAGCAGTTTGTTCAGTACCTGAGTTCCCTAGAATAATAAAGTAGTAGTAATTTCAATATTTAAATGTTACATTATTTCAATATTATGCATAACTTTCGCTCTTTTAAAACTGTTATTATGATTTTTACTTAAATTAAAAGACAATTTATACATACATATAAAAGACATTAAAATGTCTCTTTTTATCGGAACATTAGCTTCCACCCATAACTTCATCTGTATACCTAGAACTTCGAAAGAAATTCGTCTAGAAATATAGAATCGCGACGTTATCGCCTCACCCTGGGTGACAGAAGTCATAAATAGATGACTGCCCAATCAAAAAATGCGCTTTCTTATTATCTATATCACAAAAGCGTTTCATTTCTCTCTGTCTGTCCTCCAGTTGTTACAGTGCATGCATAGATGTATTTTAAATATTATTGTGCAACGTTCCTTTATTCGAAACCCAACCAAAGGTTGTCTGGGAGCAATCAAATCGGCATGTTTGTATATGTAATGAAATATTTTTTTTAATGTACTGTGCTATGAATTTGTTATGTATGAGAAATATTTAATGTATTTAATAGTAAAATTAATACAAATATATTTCATTTAGGCATACACTTTGCTCACTGTTTTATTGTGTGTTTAAATAATAAAAAAATCTTATGTTACGGGTGCATTTACAACCTGATGTTTTTGTACCTATATACACATCACACCCAGATCCAGTACAACAATTTGTGGATCACTCAAAGAGTTGATTCTTGTGAAGTCGTACCCGCGATACATCGCACGGTAGCTCGTTGCCCGCCTATCGCATCAACATTGTTGTATTTAGATTAAGTCAGTTATATATAAATATATATAGCTGACGACATATGTACATATCATCACATTTGATTTCCCTAAGGGGTTAGGCAGAGATGTAATATATGCTGACATTTCACCAGTAAGCTTGTCATGCTAATACAGTGCGATTCTATTTCCATAAGTCCTGATTTCGAGTGCGAAATTTGAAATTACAAAAAAACATCTGAGAATGGAACCTAGTATTTCTATTAGTAAAATAACAAATGTAACATCTGTTTTTTGCGGGAGTCTATTGTCCTACATGTTTGGTATAATGAGATTCGATTCCATAATTATTTTCTTTAAAGGTGGATATTTTATTATTTAAATGTGGATAAATTGTCCTATAACTTCTTCCATCTCGAGTGGGATAAGAGGGAGTGTCAGTGGAAAAAAAGCTGTTTTTAGTCAGAAAGAGTCTGACTAATTCCTCTTCTTTTCCTGCTCCAAACTGTGCGATACAGCATTGCGGTTCCATCCACCCTAGACGGCACTATTTTTTGTGTTATTGTTGCCATTTGAGAAGCATACGGAACGCGATGCGCCGTATGTAGTCTGGTAGTTGTTGGGTGGCTAGCTTTTCTTGCCGTAGACAGTACTGTAGTCAGTAGGGATCACGTGACGATTCACGTGATCCTCGACGCCCGAAGTGTTTCCAACGGCAACTAATAATTATAACATGAGAGTAGTTAATTGTTAGCTTACTGTTCTTAACTTTATTTTTCATTCTATAGGAAGCTATAGAGAATTACGACAAAGGCGACTCGAGGCTAATTCGAACCCGCTACCGACCTATGAAGGTGCTCAAAGACAAGTTGACTGGGGCTGAAGAGGAGGACCCCACTTTTGTGGATGACTCTCACATGTATTATAGAGGTAATAGAGTTGTAATTTTTCAGAGAAAATGTTTTTGTATTGTGTTTGTGAAGTTTTTTGTGTATTTATTTGAATTCATTTTTCAGATGTATTTTACATATTTTGCTTTTGATAATGCTCTTAATTTTTTTTGCCACACTTCACCCCGAAGATAATGTTTTGGGGGCAAAGTTTAAAAAACCTTCAACTGATATTTGAGCTTTTTTGTTCGCATGCGTACTACAATTATTCCTATTGAATGATCATGTGGTGACATAATAGTAGATACAATTATGATTGTCACAAAATCACTGAACACATCCGAATTTTATAAATAAGATAAAAGACCAAAATTTCCAGCAACAGTTTTATGAAAACTTCGTAGCACTGCCTACGCCGTAGCATGGTAGACCATTTTTTTTCTAATATATTGCCTACTTCACCGATTTCGATTGACTAGTCTGATAATAAACAACTCACTATTCAATATATAACATTATAGTGTATTAGTGATAGTATAAACTCACTGCATGCTAAGTAATTTGTTTTAGATGAGAATAATGAGCGTCAGCCAAAGTTCACTACGGAGTTCCTTGAGCTATATCAGATATCTAGTAACGTGACTACAATCGATGCACCTCGTATTTGTCTAAGGTCTAACTTTCCATGGATATTGATGCCCAATACCGACTTTGTGAGTTAATACTGCTTGTATCATATAAGTTTGTATGAATGTTTGGAGTTGTGTAGGTGTTCAGGTGTTTTAGTAAATCGCTTTTACTGAATGCAATGCATTCGTTTATTCTATTTTTGAAATAAGTACAATTTGATGTTTTGATTTGCTGTTAAAAATTACATCTTTTTTTAAATTAGAATTTTTATATATGTATTAACTATTATTAACGCAGTGAAGTGTAATAATTATGTGGTGATAAAATTAAATGTCTTTTCTTTGGTTAAAAAAACACACCGATTTTTTTTACTTTTTATTTTCTACCAACTAATTAGCAACAACAAGGCAAAAATTTCCGTGTTTTTTTCAACTTACTCACTAATTATACATCGCCAGTTTTTTAGACCTTAAATTCTTTTGTTTCAGACCCGCATGTTTGATTTAGCTCACTTCCTTATAATCCTGTATATTTGCTTCATGTTTCCGTACTCAGCACTTCAGAACTATCATTCGGATGCTGAAAAAGTCCTCGGTACAATTGTGGTCGCGGCCTTACTGCTAAACATATACATACAACTTACCACAGCTACCTACGAGAAGGTCAGTATTCAAGGAATTAAGAAGCGGTAAATGAACAGACATTACTTGATGGTAAGCAATCGGCATGGATATCCGTAAAACCAATGGAGTTATGAGTGCTTAACCGGCCTTTTGGAGATTGGAGTTTCAGAGATCTAGGGCCGGAGATGGTGGAGGCGTAGGATTGGGCCTACCAACCTCACTCAAAGAGCGATACGAGTACACAGCTATTTGGTTTTCTGTGAGGCCGTGGTGCCGCTTCGGTCGAGCCGACCCATTTGTACCGAAGCATGGCTCTCACACATTTTAGTCTAAAGAAATTATGCTTCATATGAGTTTTTATAGAGAAAGAACTTAGGTGTATCACCTATATTGCCGAGTTCTAGTAAGATTCGGTGTAACAATTAGTATGTAGATATTTTGCCATGCACTATACACAAGGCGCACAGGGCGCAGTCACCACAGATAAAAAAGCTTTGTTATTAATATTGGTCAAAGGGGTATTAAAAAAAGTTTTGTACAATAACGTGTTAAAACACGTGTAAACTTGATAAATCTGATTATGAAGACAACAAATGGCACAATAAAATTATAAGAACCTGCGAAAATATTTTTAGAGAAAATACGAAAATTCTTTTGTTATATCACTGGTATTTTGATAACAAAAAATGTAATCCTTGTAGAATGTTTGTAGCAAAATATTATAGTTGTTGTTAAGTTGTTTGCTGTTTGGCTAAGCCTCCGTCTACAAACTTCGATGGCGCCGCAGGCCACGTGGCGAACACATTAAATGCCGTTGAAACACGTGCTTGTTACGGTTTCACTGAAATTCAAGGATTCTTACCGATAGTTCTAATGTATACAAAGCTTAAATTGGATTATATAACATACTTTTAGAACAAAACTACAACAACATTTAACACGTTAGTCGACCAAGCCGTGACATGCGCAATAACGAAAAACACAACACACATTTGTACTTAGAGAAAACAATAAGAATATATATCAAAGGTTTAGGCATAGCCAGGTAATGGTTACATTCAGAATATCCTATAAAGTGTAGCAAATAAAGGCCCTGTGCGCTATTGTAGTTATTATTGCGGGGCACAAAGAGCCCTACCTGATTGGATCGACCCGCACAAAGAGCGGTTTGGTCGCGTGTACCCGGTTAATTGAAATCAATTAATGACATTGTGATGTTTGATTCACGTTCGGTGTAAACGCTGATGTTCTATGGGTTCGCTCGACTGTTATGGCTAAGCACGAAACCACGACCGCAGCCGCATCGTATTCGGGTCGTTATCCACATGTTCTAATGTAAACTGTCATTGCTGTATCGTATTAACAAAAGTTTGTAGAAGTGCAAAAAACAGCACACAAAGAACACAGCACGGTAACAGCTTTAGAACGTTTGAACTGCAAAACTAAAACGAAAAATCTACAATTCTTTTTTTTAATTTCAAATCGCATTAGATTTCAGCTTTCGAAATAAAAAAAACAAAAAAAAATTACTTAGTTAAGACAGTTCAGCTAAAATTTTATTTCTTTACGTAAAATACATAATTTAAATTCTGTGAATCTTTAATAGCTACAAGTATAATAACGGTTTTTCTTTTTGTCTCATTAATTTATTGTTTCCGATCGAATCCATCTCTTTTACGATCAATATAATCAAACGTTTTATATCTTCTTCAGAACGTACTAAAAGAAACGGTGAAAGATATAGCAGAAGCTAAAATGGCGTCTTTTGGTTTTTATCTGGATATTGTTTCTGTGTTCCCTGTGTCAATATTTACTGATACCTTGGACCCTCAAGGAGAAACGGTAGCTGGTCAAATCGCCATGTTATTCCCGATTCTACAAGTGTGGCATTTATGGGATTATATCGACAAGTGGGCTAAGAATTTTAATAGCCATACGAAGGTATGAATGTTTTCTTTCAGTGGAATGTCTAACTAAACATTTTTTATGTTACCTGTAATGATACCATCTATTCTGGACAAACTACAATACATTTTTTTGTGACTTATTGCTAAACCTCGTCGTTTATTTAGTTTCTCTTAAAATATTCAAAATAAATTCAAAACAGAATAGGACCTAATTATTGATGTTTACATAGGCTTGATGACGAATACGCAGCATGAGAATTAATTTATATGGTAAAGACAGTATACTAATATTATAGTTCATATAGTGATATGATATGATAATCCATATTAGTCATAGTTGTGCCAATATATTCTATCTACCACTGCATATGCAGAAACAGTTAGCAGAATATCATTTTAATCCGTTTACCAGTTAGTTAGTGTATATCCTAGCACTATATTCTCCTTGAATATATATACATAATTATTTCTACGTCCTCTCTAAATTCTAGGAAGTATAAGGCGCCGCGTTTGAAACTACCCTACATTGCTATTAAAATTTCAGCTTTAATATTCTGTCGTAAAGTTGATAATTGAGATTCGGTTCAGTCGTCTGCACAAAGCAAGTCGATGCATCATTCGAAGCTCGGTACTCTATCTATCCCTAATTGACTTGACTGAACATATTAAATACAGCTCGATTATAATTTGCAGATGTTGATCTTGTTGAAGTTTTGCCTCATATTTATCATATTTTGCTACTGGTCCGGATGTTTTCTATATCTCTTCGCGTGTCCAAGGAAACTTTGTCGGGCTGTGAGTATGAAATTTTTATTTTTTCACATGTAGTTCTTTTGTCCTTGGAGCCTGTTTCGCCACCTTCATATAAGTATTTAATAAAATTGTCTGGTAGATAGTCCAAACTAGTAGATAATACAAGATGGTGGCTATCTAACAGGTCCTAAGAGTTTTCGACGCATGGTTGACAGAGGCTGGGCAACTGCCTGCTGTGCAACGTGTTGAGGGTTCGATTCCCGCAAGGAACAATTATTCTTTCTGTGATCCAAAAATTGATCTGGCTGACTTATGTATGTGAATTTGTACGTTTGTAGACACACGAGAAAAACAAAAATAGGCAATGCTATTTCTAAAAAAATTATCCTATTGACGAAATTCCCTTTCCTCATCTATAGGAAGCAAATTTCGTCTTCTTTTAGTATTTCATCACTATCATTAGAATTTCGACGATCATCTGAATTCACGCTACATAAAATACGTACTTGTGGTATAGTCTTGTAGTAAATTTTCAAAAAGATGTTTTAAGTTTAGTATGCGAAGGGGCATTCTATTTTTAGTTATGAAGATATACTGTACTTTTGTAATATTAAGTAGATAAAAATATACTGACTGTTACATCATTAAATTAAATTAACCTACAACATACTCAGAATCGTAACGTAGTCCCATTATGCGCCGCCCGTCCTCGTTACCCGAGGATCATCTTTGAAATTCGTATTAATTAACATGATTAAAAACAAAAAATGTTGTTTAAAAAGTTTTTCAAAGTGATATCTTAACTTGTGTGTATTTTAATTTGATTAAATAGGTAACTATTTTATGTTTTATGCTCTTTAGTAAGTTTTGTTTATTTAATGATATTTTTTAGTTGAAAATATTTAAATTTTTTGGTTTTATTTTAGTATTTAATGAGATGTTGGTTTAACAAAAATTTTAGTTTTTGTTGAAGAAATATATATTTCATTCAAATGTTTATTTCTTTATAAATTGTTGATCGTGGTTGTGTTTACAAACATATAGTTTCACATGCACAAGACCCCCAGACTCGGAACAACAATTTGTGGATCACACAAAGAGTTATTCCGTGCGGGAATCGCAGAGTCCCGTTGTGACTTGAAACTAGCCGGGCATTACTCAGTAAATTCACAATTGGTATTGTACTTCACAGAACACTTGGATGTCGCAGTTGATATACTGGGAGACGAAGGTGTTCATGACGAATGAGGCCCGTCACGAGACCCCGCTGACGACGTCCTTCTTATTTGGCACATCAGTATTAACTGGTTCTGGGACTTCAGAGGTCGCACCGGGAAACATCGACCTCTTTGCAGTAAGAATTAAAATAACGATTATGTATAATAATTAAGAATTTTAGAGAATGTTAGTTCTTTTATGGTATACGACATCAAACGAGCAGATTACCTGGTGGTAAGCAATTAGCGCCGCCCATGGATACTCGTTACACTAAAGGAGTAACAAGCTTAGTATTTGTGTGGAAGGAGAAGGATTGGGCCTCCAAATATTCTGTAAGGCTGATATCTTTCTGGTCTAGCAGACCTAAATGGCTAGAAAATATATGATACTGAGCTATGATTATGTGTATATGCTTAACTAGCTACTCTCGCGCGGTTTCACCCGCTGCTCGGCTCCATTTGATCGTACCGTGATGTTTTATAGCCTATAGCACTCAGGAATATTGTAATTACCTATCAGTGAAAGAATTTTCGCAATCCGACCAGCGGTTCTAAAGATCACCCCCTACATACAAACTTACAAATTTTACCTCTTTATAATATTAGTATAGAGTATAGATTAACGTATCCGAGAAAAAGGTTAACCATATTGTACTATCATTCCAAAATAGACATCCAGCCTAACAAAATAAAATATAGGTGCATAAAAAATGTTGATGCTTTAGCCAGATTATTACGTATAGCACTATAACACGTTAGATTAATACGTATAGCACTTTCATCCCTGTGAAGCGGATGAGAACACAAAGTTAGTTTACAAGTGAACTATATATCTTCATTATATTATTATAAAAATAGTGCTATGAATATAAAACTTTGACCATTTAGAAAACTAGTTCAATCTATCGTAAAATACCCGGGACTCCGTACAAAAACACTTCATATTTTATCCGACGTATGTTTCCCATTACCGCACGCACCATAACCATATATTTTTCTCTGAAACTTTGTTCAATGCACAAAAAAAGTTTTATGGTGTGTTGGGTACAATTTATTATGAGCCTATGTTTTTTCCTGTGGTTTCGATCAGGTAAGATTTACTAGATATCGGAAAATATTGTTTCATTGTTATACCATTTTATGAGTCTCCGTTGGCTTTAGTGCGTCGGAAACGACTGTTCATTCTTTTCAATGTATTGAATTGAGGATTGTAGGGACCATTATATACCTTATGATCATTAAATAAAATATATACTTATATGTAGTTTATTTTTATATAGGTCTATATAAGTTTGAAAATTAATAAAAAAATAGTTTATTCTAAAGGACTACAGCGCTTGCTTGCTTGCCTTTTGTGGCGAAGAGTTGGAAGTATTTTTTTTGTATGTAATAGGCCGGCGAGCGAGACTTTGGTTTACTTGATGGGAGGAGGATGGATACACCAGGGGAGTTACGAAAGCGTTGCCGGCTTTTTGGGGATTAGTGGTATCACGTCCAACCCGAGTCCATGGCTCTCCCACACTTAAGGCAAAGGCATAGTAGGAAAGGTTAAAGACAGAATTAAAAATAATATTATTTCTACAACTACACATTTGAAGTATATGTATGTATATTTAAAACACAAATGTAATTATAAAAAATACAGTAATGAAATATTCACGTAGGAATTAGTTGTGATGCGTTTTTTACGTTCATAATTTAAATATGTCGCCAGTTCGAGTTATGGCGGGAACCCCGTCGGTCGACCTACGCGTTTAATTATAAATTCTAAATGTGCTGGCTGGGAATATCATGATAAGCGACGCGACACCGCCGGAGGTGTGAAGTGGTGACACTTTTATAGACATGCAAATTTTATATTTAGATACTAACAACGCCAATGTAGTAATTAAAATTATATTATTATATACGCTCAGGTAGGTAACATTCTGTGTATTTCCCTTCTAATAACTTATATAACTAAGATGTCATCGGAACATGATAGGTGTTTTTCTTCAAAGGTCCGGAGACAGTCATGTGGTTCTATAAGGGTCTAAGATACAAAAATCGTATAGTATTCTCTCAATTATCTCATTAGTAGTGATGGTTTTAGTATTATGAGTATAAATATTGTTAATACCAACACCATAGGATCTTTAAAATGTTTCACCAAAATAACACGATTAAATCTGGCCTGATCATCACTTATGTATTTATGGATAGCGTGTCAAATCAGAACATTTTAATATTTATAAGGAACTAGCTACTCTCGCGCGGTTTCACCCGCTGCTCGGGTCCATTTAATCGTAGCGTGATGTTTTATAGCCTATAGCACTCAGGAACATTGTAGCAATCTATCAATGAAAGAATTTTGGAAATCCGACCAGTCATGGTTCCAAAGATTACCCGCTACATACAAACTTACAAATTTTACCTCTTTATAATATTAGTATAGATATAGATTTAATTTTTATGTACATATTTACGAGTTCATAGAAAATAGTGTAGGTATACAAAAATGTGTCATTTTCCAGGTGATATTCCTTTACGTGTTGGGATCTTACCTGTGTTGTTTCTATACGGCAAGCATCTGTAGTAACTACCTGCTCTCCAGTCAAAGGAAAATGAAATTCAAGGTAAAAACTACACTTTCAAATAAAAAGAATTTAATATCTCATTACTTTCTCGTGAAAATACCAATTGCAACAGGATACCGTTAATTCATGCCTGAAACGTGATTAGAAAAGGTTGGATATTGTTCCAAATGATCCGAATTCGAATTTGAATTTAAAAGCAATTTCCCCGAAGAATTTTTAATGAAAATAACCTAGCAACATACCTTTGATACCTTTAGTTAATCAACGTTTTAAATAATATAAATATTTCGAGTTTCTCAGCGGACTACCTACAATTTTAATCGTTGTTAAAAAACAAGAACAATATTGGAATCTTCCAGTTCAATGAACATGAATGATAGAAACGGAATTGATTATATTTGAACTGTCCAATGACCGGGATTTTTTATTGTTGCTTAACTACTGGCTTGTGAAATACGTTGATAAAGTTATTGCGAATAGAATATTCAAATATTTTATGAAGTTTGCCTTTTTGTCATCTAGATTGTGGTCGGCAAAGAGTGAGCTATTTAAGGCTGAATGACTTATATTTAGTAATTTTTGTTATGAGATATTAGTTGTTGAATTTGGAATCTCACGAGCTATGCTTTTAGATTCAATCAAATCATAGTATAAAACAAAGTCACTTCTTGCTATTCCTCTATTATTATGTATGTTTAGATCTTTGAAACTACGTGACAGATTTTGATGCGGTTTTAAACGACAGATATGTTTAAGAGGAAAGTTTAGGTATATAATTTATTAAGGTTCCGCACGAAGTTGCGGCTACTAACTTATGACTCCCTTTTGTAATTTTTGACTGCACGGTTGACGCCGTGGCTGGGCAACGTGTCGAGGGTTCGAAGCCCGAACGGAGCAACTGTGTATATGATCCACAAATTGTTGTTCTGTGAGTCTGGGAGTGATGTGTATGAGAAATTATATTTTTGTAACCGCACCCACGACACAGAACAAAATCCTAGTGTGAAGCTAAGTTAAAAAAAACTAATGTAGCATATTCAGAGGCTGTGAAATAGTTCCTTAGTTTGGTGTATTTCAGTAGCTGAAAGACAAATTTTCCAGTTTTGTTATCAACGCAATATTTTGTTTGTGTGTACGTATGCTTGTAATGAATAAAGTCAAAAGTGTATGTGACGATTACAAAAATTATTTCACTGTTGAAAAGTTAAAATCACCTTGAGTCACATAGGCAAATAAGCTTTACTTAAAGATAATTTAAACTAAGTACATTCAATTATTAATAAGGCCAGATTTAATTATAAATAAAATTAAATATATGAATATTTGTGCCAATCCGTGCAATGTAAGGATCCGGTGCTAGTATCTAATAATCTTGAACAAAACTTGAATCTATTAGGTTTTATAAACCTAATGTTTCTTCGGAATAAAGTATTTCTAAATGACACCTAGTGCGCTTTATAATACGACTGATTCTTCAATCTTAATTACAATGTGAGGGAAAAATATTCGCGAGGACTTTATTTATTACTCCATTCATCTTTCGTAGGAATCCATGAGAGAGTTATTTTATTTCCTCTCAGTAAATCACGTTAGTGGAAAAATCAAAGCGCGGGTGAAAAAGTTCTTCTGCGTGCAATGGTTAGTTGAGAGTTTGTTTCAACTTTAATGTTTAAATCTTTATAGATTTGTTCTCGTACTTACATTACAGCAACCGCTGTTTTAAGTTTTTTTTTAATTTTCATCTCTATAACATAGCCATAAAGTTGTAAGTTCTAAAAGTGCCAACAGCAGCGGGTAGGCGGCAATATCCTCTAAATTTTAGTTCACCTACCTGCGATCCTCAAGTTGCCTGCCAAGCCTGGGGCTTAACGCAAACGCTTGCTGAAGAGGGAGGCTTTTGTGCAGCTGTGGAGATGTATCCATTGATGAGAAAGAAACCATTGACGAAGTTTCTTAGCTTAAAGTAGCTAGTCGTCTGATATATGTATGTGCATAAATATCTTAATTAACAAATGATAACTTTCCAACTAAAAAGGTATTATAACCGTGCTGTGTCTACGGAAGAAATATTCGCAGACATGTCCTCGAATATCCAACAAGACGTACTATCAATAGAAATGGTCGAGACCTTGGTGTCCTGCCCTTTATTCCAGGTACGTGATACACGGTGTCGGCGCTTATCACAACAGATTTTTGCTACAGAAGCTTTGCACATAGCCTTATCGAAAGTTGTGAAATTTCTCAAATAGAGTTTCGACCTTGTTATTTTGTATTATAGTTGAAATTTATTTAATACAGTTACAAAGGACCTTGATGTGCTGGTGTTTGTCCTTGCATAAATATTCATGTGCTAAAGCTAAAAGACTTTTAACATTACCAAAGATGTCTTATATTACGTAGTACTTAATTCTAATTTTATTTGCGTTTCGCGGTAAACCGGGCTCAGCTATGCGGGATTCGGTGAACGCCGAATAGTGGGAATGGCGGTCATAAATCGTCAAACGATAGTGTTCGCCTTGGTCGGCTAATTGCCGACACATTTCTCTGGTTCAATGTATGTTCGAACATGGCCACAAATCGCGAAAACCGAACTGAGATCATCACGGTTTTAGGTCAGTATTGGCACTCGACGAATGAGAATGCCTTGCGGCTCCATTCTCCTTTAGATCTCGCTGAGGGCTATAATGCGATGTTTCATTCCATAATGGCCAGGTGGATTTACGTCGTAATTTTGGTCTAGATTCCTTAGTGGCACTTATAGGTCTGCAATTGCAACTATCTGTTATCGATTCTCAAGATATACTTCTATTGTTATAAAATGAAAAGATATCGTTTTTAGGTAACACAGCATACGAACGAAAAAGTAATTAGAATTTTTCTTCTAGAAATCTTCATCACGATTAAAAATAGTGAACAAAAGCGTGTTCGCATTAAGTGGAACATCCAAGACAGATGTAGAGCATTTTAATTTGTTCGTAGGTATTAAATCGTGATTTTCTACAAACTGTGGCCAGTAATACTAGGACGTTGATACTGCCTGATGATGAGGTGGTACAGCATGCTGGTGACATTGTGAGGGACATGTATATTTTGAAAAAAGTAAGTTTAAACTATTACCTAACTTAATACGCTCTAGACTCCTAATATTTTTTTTGAGTGGGGAATATCATCAACTGTCTTCTCTCGCCCGACGAGAGGGAGTGTCAGACTCTCCTGCTCTAGGCTGAGGCCATTATTGCGCTTGATCCGCACTCCCGGCTTGATCCGAAACCCCAGAAGAATTCCAACACTATTATGCTGTTACTTAAGTAATCTAATATTTTATGTGAAATGGGGAGTCAACGCAAATAGTGTAGGTACAGAGAAAAGAGTGTTCAATATTATTTTATTAACTAGCCTGAACTAAAGTCATCCCCTAATCCCCATGAGATCGCACCAACCACCGCACTTGATATTTCTTTGGTGTTATCATCGTTATATTCGGGTGATCTGCATGTTAATTTGCTGACCTATTCCATATAGGTACAAATAGAGTGATAATTATCCATCCACACGATGAGTGATGATGTTCTTTGTATAAATTTACAGGGTCACTGTAACTTGTTGAATCACCTTGGCAAGAGACATATGACGATCGGGCCTGGCACTCATTTTGGGGTCTTGGAAATGCTTTTTGGTCTACCAAAGGTAACTTTATACACATAACAATGAATAATTGTGTAAACTTCATTTAATATATTTTTCTCAAAGAATGAATATGAAATCTCAATAATAAAAGCTATTAAAACATATTAAATGTACTCTATGAATTTCAAAGCAAAATACAATACCGGTACAGATGAGGATTCTGACAAAAGTATTATTAAAACTGCCTTAATGTTCTAGTTTTGCAGATGAAAAGCGGTTTGCATAAACATGGCGGTAATGAATGTATAATTTGTCCAGGTATATACGGTGGTGACGTCGACAAACTGCATATTACTGCATGTGGAATATAGTTCGTTGGTGCACTGCTGGGGAACGTTCCCGGACATTAGTCACCCCATTATCACGGTGATTCATGCATTTAATATCGCCATACAACAACAGATGAGCGGACCTTTGTGTGCCTGCGTCTGTGCCTGATGTATTAGCTTCTCTGCTTGTGATGTTGCGTTTGTGTGTGTAACTGTATTTTGTATAAAAGGGCGGAGTTAAATTGATATCTGGTGCTGACAAAAGAGGTTTTATATGAGTACTGAAGTGATTTCTCATTTGTTTTAAGCCTGTGCAATGTTTGTTGTAATGGATAATGATGTTTATTTTATAGGAAATTGTATCTATGAATTTTATATAATAACGAACCATTTAACCACAACTTTTTGTGGATAGAGTAAAATTTAAAAGTGTTGCTTATATTTGTCTCAAAGAAAATTATATTTGAAATAGAAGGAGTCCACAGATTTAAATGCCTGTAAATTACCAGTTTCAATGATATTTAGGAACGCCCACAATATTTTTAAAGTTGAAATTAAAATTACACTCACAGCTTCACAATTTAGAACTCGTTTACCGTTCTTCAACTCGATTTTCCTCATCGATTACTCGCCCACTCGATTTCCTTTGGCATCTTTTTATAAACGTTTATTTACGTTGAAGTAGGTACGAATTCTTTAACGTAAGGTAAAATTTAGAAAATTAATTTTAGCGAAGAAAATGGTCGCTTTATAAATTACTACAACGTTGCTATGTACAAATGTATTAGTCAAATTAAAATAAGTATTCATAGTTTCTGTGTAATGGAAGCGTTTGTTCAATTTAGGAATGCTTATCGACAGTTTGATGTAGATTAAGTCTGATTGGAGAAGAGATTTTAACGAAAGTTGGAAGTGCGCGTTTAGTAATAACTTCTTGATGATGACGTCATATAAGGTTTACTTTGTAAGACGTTACAAAGCTATGCAATAAACGCCAATTAAACGGTAGATCATTAAAAACAAAACGTAATGACAATCAATGATATGCAATTTGGTCCAGTGCTCGTAAAATCAAGTTAAAATACTTTGATACTTCCCATGGCCAAAAAACTTACAGAGAGTCATAGTTAGTTAGTAACCCTTCGTTGAACAAGACAAATTATTAATATTATGTAATATCTATACACAGGCCTTGGAAGACTCTGAAATTAAAAAACAAGCCACTGCCTTTGAAGAGGCCAAGCCCTTGATCGGTCGAATTGATATTAAAACGAACAGAATTGCGGTATGTATACCAAGTTTTATAATCATGAGTCCCGGTGACATGAAAATCGCCGAGTACCCTCGAAAACTAATAATAACTATCGTGAGAGGCCGTTCAATATGTAACTAAACATATTGAAAATAACCACTTAGTCACGTGAATAAACACCGAGAAAAGCTCTACTAGTTTCAAGCCACAACGGGACTCTTATTCGTGACGAGAATGCGCGTCGCGGCGACGTCACACAGTCGACGAAGCTGTAGGGCTTTTAGTCAATCCACGTAAGTCGTTACTTTAAATAAGCCTAAGTTAATTGTTTTATTTCTAGCAAGAGATAAAAGAAAGTTTCGTGCTTCCAACGACGAGGGAGCAGAGAATTCATTACGTGAAGACATTCAACCAGTTAGGAGTATTGAGGTATGTAAGGCTTTGTGTAAACATTTTATGAGATTAATTAGCTCTATTATTGTCAGAACAATGATGTTTTTGGTACTTGTTAAAACGGAGGTATTCTTTGGAACAAGCTTTTATTTGAAAACAATTCATTATCAGGAGGGAAGACGGGTTTTACATTTAATGAATATTTAAATTTACTTTAAGTATTAACAAAAATATTTTAGATATTCGAAATAATGGTTCGTAAAATCGTATTTGTTTCCGATTGTTCGAAAACAACGGCCCATTCAGATGGATAAAATTGCAAAAATCTGAATGCATTGTTCGAGTGAACAGGCGCAGCATTTAACATTTGTTAAAAGATTCGTGAGAGGAATAAACAGTTTTGAATACAGCAAAAATGTTTCTTTATCATTTAATACTTTTCGATTCTTTATCATGGAATTCACGATTTTTTGGATCGGTAAGCCGCTGGATGTGAACTTTTAATCAGCCGATCTTAGAAGTCATTAGGAGAGTCCTATTTTCAGCAGGATTCAAGTGTGTAAGAGCCATGCTTCGGCATGAATGGGCCGGCTCGACCGAAATGATAGCACAGTCTCACAGAAAACTGGCGTGAATTGTGACTTTCGTTATGTTTCGCCGTGCAAGTGAGGTTACCGGAGCTCCAGACCTCTCCACCCATCCTCTTTCCTAAAATACCCTAACAAACTCATAAGAAGCCGGCAACGCACTCGTAGGAACTCCTTCAGTACCACCAGTGCCCATGAGCGGCTTACCTGCCGATTGCTTACCATCAGATAATCCGGCTGCTGTTTTCGACCATAAAAGAAAAAGAAAGACACATAAAAGAATCAAAAAATTTTGACGACGTAGAAGATCAGTTGAAACTTTAAGATTTTTACCTATGTTTTTTTCTTCTTTCCGTGTTTATTTGTGCGAAAACTTCACTTGCATGATGTAGGATTGGTTACGCCATCTTTTTGTCTATACCTAGAGGCGCCACAAGAGAATACAAATACATTTACAAATATATTCCTAACTAGATTTTCTCGTAAAGTTTAACTTGCTGCTATAGGTTTTAGCGTGATGTTTTATAGCCTATAGCACTCAGGAACATCGTAGCTATCGATCAATAAAGAATTTTGGATTTCCGACCAGCAGTTTCATAGATAACCCACTACCTCAAACTTTACCTCTTTATAACATGAGTATAGACAACAAAAGCAACGAAGTAAACAAATAGAACTTAAGTTATTCTTAATATGTAATTTAAAAAATGATTCATGTGCACTGTGTTACCTGATATGTTGTGTGTAGACACCTCAGGTACATCTTCATGCCAGGATGCATTACTCCCCATGGAATATTCTTGAAGTTCTGGTGCGCTGTTCGCTTCGTCGTCGCCGTGTTTTACATATTCTCTGTACCGTACGATATTGCTGTAAGTTTCCATGTTTTATTGTGTTACTGGTGTACCTTTGAGAACTTAGTATTATAGTTGTACTAGCTTTCGCCCGCGGTGCTGCGTGGTATATTGATAAAAGCAGCCTATGTGTTAATGAAACCTATCTATATATCAATTAAACCAAATCAACTTCTATCAACTTTCACATTTTTAATATTAGTAAGATGGTAGGATTCGTAGGATGTATCGTTTATGCTTGTGTGTTCTTTCTTTTTATAATAGTTATTTTGTAGTGAAGCTCTTTTTAGCTTTTGTTATGTAGTGATATAAGTAAGCTGTAGTGAGGTGTCAGGGCCTATGAAATTCAATGCGAAATTGTGAATAATATGATACTGACAAATATACTTTTAATCTCATTAGCGCATTTGCTGTAATGGCTAACTACCTCTATTCCTCAAAGATGTTGATTGATTGATTTATCTATATAAAATTATTATATTTATTTTAAACAATAAAAACACGTTGATTATAAGAATAGAGCATTATATTTTAATAATATTCATTATATTTTCAGTCAAAACAACACAAGCACGGGGGCCCGTACAATTGGTCGGATATTATTCTGTATATAGATATAGTAATAATGGCCTATGTGGCATACTATAACGAGAAGTCCCTCCTTGTAACACATCCCTTACTAACAGTATCTAGATACTTGAGGCACGCCTTCATACTGGATATTATTAGCGTTTTCCCAATTGAAGAAGTTGTAAGTATCTGTTTTACCACCAACATATAAGTTCCCGATAAACCGGAAAAACTCATGTGGCTTATAGTTCAAACAAATTAAGTTCTATATTCAAAACTTATCTGGAACGCCATGGCTATTCAGACATTGTAACATTCGGCATTTTTTTTAGGAGCAGAGCTGTTTAACTTGCTCCTCCCACTCGGGGTGGGGTGAGAGGAAGTCTCTTACTGACTAAATACCAAGTTTCCCCTTTGCTTCTTCTCTGGCCTACTGCCGCGATACATTATTGCGCTTGCACCCAACCTAATGCTGGTGTTCAGTCGCAGTTGCGCAACTGTTCATCAGCCCTATTTTTGGCCAGTTTTTTTTATTAAAATGTATTTCATATATGTACTTTTGTTTCAGTTTCGAATAGTAAACGATAATAGCGATATGGATCTTTATAGACTCAATCGAATGCTTTTGGTAAGTGTACTTATATTGAGAAATGACCTCACCCCCACCCAAGACTCATGTTTCTACACTGTACATATAATTTTTTTTTTTTTATTCTTACAGAAGGCTTACAGACTTATAGTACTTAAATATTATAACTTAAACTAGATTATTAAATTGCTATTGACAAGCCCTCACATATAATTATTACAACTATCGGAAAAAAAGGAATAAATACCAGATCAATCTCAATATAATTTGAGAACCGCTACTGAGAATCAAATTATCTCTTATTATGTTATATTCAAGTTCTATTTTAAGTCTTTAAAAGACAAAGTGTGGTTTATGTTATGTGTCGTATGTCACCGGAGGTTAAGGCGCCCGCTTTTCACGCATGAGGACGCGGCTAAGAAATCTGTCAAGCTACCATATGATAGAATAAGACTTTCCCAGTTATATGTATTTTTTAAGTTTATTCATCAGTCTACTGATAAGCGGAGAAGGAGAATACCGAAAGCAAACCTGTCCTTATAATTCCTGATTAGGTTTAAAATCTTTCTTGAGCAAACATGGTGATTAATACTTATACCATTTCCGTATGAGAAGACGCCTTTGCCCTGCTGAGGGCACTTACAAGCTGATGACAATAAAGAGAAAGAAAAACAAAAAATGTACCGACATAAATAAAATTTTCACACATCTACAAAAACCGTGGAAACGAACTGAATACAAAAGAACATAACAACATCAAAAGGCTGTACCTGTATCTAATCGTATCTAGACACAGCTCAGATTTTCACACAATAGTATCCAGTGAACGCTTCTTTTGTTCAGGTGACTAGAATAACAGGAGCTTTCTCGTACTGGGAAGGTGATATAATGCGAACAAATCCAGCCGTTGTGCTGCTAAAGTTTCTACCGATCGCTGTAACTATTGTAAATTTTGCTACTGCCTTCATTATCGTGAACGCCTGCGAACCCTATCTACTTCATAATAATTCGGAGTTCATATTTATTAATTGCACGAAAAGTTATATCGTTTCCAGTGCCAAATCTGAGCCTAGATGTAAGTGATGATTTATTATTATCAAATATTTTTTTTTGTAGTTGTATTTCAATTGACAAGAATGCTGGGCTACCAGTTTCCGTGCACGCAACATTTAAAAAATAACATTAAGAAGTTTCTGTCAATTATATAATTCTGACGTAACAAACATTCTTCCATCCATACTTTGAAATGTTCGCTTTACCATATCAGTAGGTTGAATTAAAATGCATAATTCTTAAATAATACATCCAAACAATATATTATATTATTATACGTGTAAAGTAACTCTGTCTGTCTTTTCTTCACGCCTTAACAACTGAACCGATTTCTGAGTTTGGTACTGACATAGTTTGGAACTCGAGAAAGGACATAGGATAATTTTTATACCAAAAATCTGCAGGAAGTCAGTAATCTACGCGAACGGAGTCGTGGGCAAAAGCTAGTTTTTAATAACGAGCGACTCAATATGAGATATCAGTTTTTATAAGGTGTGTCAGACCCTGAGAAGAACGGGATGCACGTTATACCAATTATTTATTTATTTATTATAAGGTAGGCTCACAGCTTATGTACACAAAGTGGTTTAAAGTAATGGTTATAGGCAGTAGGTCATATACATTAGCCATTTACGAGCTAACCAACATTCTAAAAATTATGCGTAAATACAGTCAAAATATATAGAAATAAAAACTAGAACTAATTAAATTAACATAGGTAAGACAAGAGTATTAATCATATTAAAGTATTAACTAAATAAAATTACAATTGAAATTTGAAATTTAAATTATTGGTTAAACTGCATTACTGTTTTTTTTGTCATCCTATTTTATACATAATATATTTTATACATAAAATATTGAAGATTATATTTCACAGATGCTGTCACAGAGTACATGTACACTTTTTACTGGGCTTTCGAGACATTTATGGGTGAGCCTTTTTATAATTAATATTATTATTTACCAAAACGTATTTTTTATATGATAGGGTACACGAGGCTAGTGGTAAACGAGTACACGGATCACCTGATAGTCAGCAATCAGCGACGCCCATGGACACCCACAAAAACAAAAGAGTTACGAGTGCGTAGCCGACCTTTTGGGGATTAGGCATTTAGAGATTTTGTATTTGTGGTGGGATTCGGGAATGAGAAGGATTGGGCCACAAGTAACCTCATTTACACGGCGAAACAAAACGTGTATGTTTTACTTTTTTTCACGCCGTTTTTTTGTTCGACCGTGGTATCACTCTGGTCGAGCCGACTCATTCGTTCCGAAGCATGGCTCTCCTACACTTGACACGTATGCGTAATATTTTAGCACTGGTTTCAGAATAACTACAATTTAATTGTTATAAAGAAAAAATATCACAATCAAATGTAAAGAAGGAATGTAGTGGCTTTTGGTAATTACGAGAGTAACAACCTCTCGACCCACTCGGGGCGGAAGAACTCATATGACGATTTCACCCTCAGAAAAAAACCATACATATATGTATATAGGTTTAATTCGCACGTGCGAAATGCTGACACAATTTTTTCTACTATTTAATGGATGTTATTATACATATGAACCTTCCTCTTCAATCAATTTACGTATTAAAAAACCGCATTAAAATATTGAAGCTTACATAGGGCTAAAGGGACAGAGAAAGCGACTTTGTGTTATACTATGTAGTGATTATTATGTGTTACAGGTTTGGGTTGTCCGCCCGTTAATATGATGAATTCTGTAGACCTTTGGCTGGTGATGGCTTTGCAGCTCAGTGGATTCCTATACTTCGCTTTCATGTTTGGATACGTTGCCTCCACCAGAACAGCCGCTACGCACGAGTTGTTACAACACAATGTTAGTTTTTGAATAGATAATTATTATGAGACATGCGAAATTTATTGAAAAATTACGACAACTTATTTATGAGCAGCGTTCACGTCGCGGCGACGTCTCAAAGCCAAACTGAACGCGCCATTGCGACCACGACCGCTCTGTGAAGATTGATGCGATTGATATTAATTGAGGTCGTTGATATTCCTACACTACATAATTATTTCCCTCTTATTAAATCACCTATTTACCCTATTTGAAGTCTGTAAAAGAACAGTGAAAGAAAAGTGTATACATGTCGAATTTTTTTATGGTCAGCAAACGAGAAGCATACCTGATGGTAAACGTTCAACATTTGGAGACGCCAATGGACACCTGCAGATTAATCTTTCGGAGTTTAGGGATTTGAGGGTTGGAGAATTTCGCAATTAGTAACGGGAGAGGAGTTACGTCAATCACAGCGAAATACAACGTAAGCGTTGGTTCTTGGTTTAGGCCTTACCAAGACCTCAATCTGGTCCAACCGGCACATTGATGTCAAAGCATGAATCTCATCCACATTTTATGTTAAATCGATAAAAAATGCATCTTTAGAACATTGTGTGGTATTGTATTACATCGTGTATTAAACGCCATACTTTATCGACCCTCGGAGATTGTGATGAAAGAAAGATATATTATGCTGACATAGATTGAGATAAGGGCAGAAAGAAGACTTTATCTCCCCTCTACGCATCTCGTATACCGTAGAGTCATGTGTGCTACGAGCTACGATTTTGCTACGAAAATGTTTATGAACAATCTCAACAAGCCTTCTTATTTTCTATTTTTGAAAACATGTATTTAAATCAAATGAAAATAATACGCTAAAAACCATAGTCCACCTCATTAAGTTGGGGGCCGGCTAAAATTGATGGAAAAACCTCTGCATAACGACGTCAACAAATTTAATTGATGTTTAAAATAATAAAACGAACAGTGTGGTATGACCACTCCGGTCTCTGGTTACGAACAATTAACTTTCGGGTGTTGTTTTCGCTATGATTGTTATGAACTGGACATAATAATTAATAGGTAGGTCGGTGTATGAAGCTGTTATCACCGATATCACCCTCCGAGGGTACGTTTCGCTAAAGTACGCCTAGTGGACCATAAACAGGCAACCGCTGTTGTTAGTATCAAAGGCAATAAAAAGTAATCGCCTTCAGAATGCCACTTACAGCTACAGAAATGTGAAAGTCATTCCAAACCAAGCCATTATATTTGCCCTTTCACTGAGCAAGTGAAAATTTAATATTTTTTCTCGACACTCATAGAATAGCCCTCAAGATAAGCCAATTAGTATAAATTAAAAAGCAAACATTTTCACGAACAAATTCATTTCTAATTGTTTCTTTTTAGTATATTGTATGCTGTATGTTCCAATTGTCTTCAAAGCCGATCAAATATCTATGAAGTTAATAAAACGAACATAAAAGGAAATCAATAAGCTATTATCAAACAGTTGCTAACAGGGAAAAACGTTATTTATTTAGAACATGGGCGTCGAACCGGCCGTGACGTGATCGTACTGTATTCAAAGAAAAACTTTTGTAAAAGGAATAAAATGTAACAATGAACAAAATCTAATTAACAGCCGAGATAGACCATAGGTACTGTAAGTCTAGCGCCACGTATTACGGCTAAAGTTCCGTCATTAAAAATATTACGACTCTGCAGTTCCAGTACAGTAATTATATTAGTTTTAACGAGCTCACAGTCCTCGTTTGTTTTATAGGAAAAAACAAGGGATCTAGCCAACTTTCTGTACCAGCAGAACGTGGACCCTATGCTGACGGCGAAAACGTTGAAATATTTCGAATATGTGTGGAAACGGACCAATGGCAGTAATCCACAGGTAAATCGATTATCATATTAGCTACAAATTAAAGAAGAACATTGAAATTTGGCCTAAGCATCTAAACAGACTTACTTGTGTGTTAAGTCTAGGCAAGGCGTTAGTAACGTGTACTACATCACAAATATAATGTTTTACAAAATTGTGAACGTTGAAAAACAAGTATTCCGCTGGTCACGTACTCGTAAAATACTGCGTTATGCACTTTTCACACAAAAGTACATTAATTCTGGTGAAACGCTTACAGTGCTGTGGTAAAACATTTTTATGTTTGTGTTTGTTTCAATACTGAATTTTTATCACGTTCCCAAACAATAAGGGACCGTACAGGTTTGATTTTGATTTTCTGCACGATACTTTTTGATTAAAAAATGTGCTGAACAGAAAGGAAATCTCAATTCTGCTATTGCTAAGTCAGCAGAAATATCTAATACGAATGTTTCTCTGGAGCATATAATAATATGAGTGCTGAGTCCGCCACATTATATCGATTCACTATCAGTTCGTGGCCGCAGGTGGCATTCACTGGTGACAGGTGTGGGTAGCAATGTCGCTTCATCATTTTGTTACTGAATTAGAACCTGGGTCACGATGATATATTATTTAATTAATACTTGAATAATCTGTCCTGTCCTGTCCCTTTGTTGTGGTCTTTACAGAGCTTATTATGTTGAACTGTGGTCATTTGACGGGTTGTTCGTAATTAAGTCGCTTCGTTGTTGTTATTGAGAAATCTATTTACTAAATAACTATGTTAGTATGTTGCTAGCTTTCAGTGTTCGTATTAATATAGACGTAAATCAATTCAATGTCATACCTTAGGTACAATGTTTGGGTCGCTCTATTTAAATAATGGCCAATGTCTATTGTATTTGATTGAGCAACCTGTCCGTTTGATTCTATAAAAGATACATCGGTGTTACGAGAGCGGAGCAGGAGAAGGAAAAGGGTAGTTTTAGCTAGAGAAGACTCCCCCCTCTCTCCCTTACCAGAGCGATAATAAACTGTTGTTTTAAGCAAATAAAATTATATATTCTTGGTTACAATTAAAGATAATTTTCCCCTCAAAAAACCCTCACGAGATATAGGTATGGATATATATTATAGGTATATATATAAATAGGTAGGGGCATCAAAAAAATGAAAAAGGTTAATAATTAACCTTAACTTTTCTTTATTATCTAATAGAAAATATGTCGTCTCCTAAACTCGGCTCTGATGGAAGACACGTTGGTGTTCATGTATGAACGAGCATTGCGCGAGGTACCTTTGTTTGGCAAGGTCGAGAGATCATTCATCAGGGTCATCACTCAGCACCTACACGAAATGTACTTTCTCAAGGGTGATACTGTCATACAATGTAGGGATATACAACCCTATATCTTCATTATTTATCGTGGTAAGGTAAGCTCAAATCGTTTTAGGGTTACCTTTTCTAGCTAGATATTTTTATTGCAAATATTTTTTATCAACTTAAGAAGACTTTTATATTAAGAATTTGGGTCTTATTTATTTAATATATTAATAAAATCAGCTAGCAATCATGACCCATGTAAATATGTATTGACCTAAATTTTATAGTTATCATGTTTTCCCAGCAATGGAAGTTATGCATATCTTTTTTATATTCATAGACGTTTTTATTACGCTACAAGTCCATGTTCGCAGTCAATCTTTCAAGTCAAATATCGCTCGAGGTAAATGATCGAGGACGGGATGTATCCCGAAGTTATACAAGATGGAAGTCATACTGTAACTTAGTCTGAGCACATACAATATTGAGTTTACGATTCTAGGCGTACTTATGAACTATGTTCAAATTAATCTAAGCGTTTTAATGAAATTTCCTTAATGTATATGACGTTCTTTGTTCTTTTACTGTAATTTTGTATTAAAAGCTTCATTTTACAAGTTAAATTGTAAGTATTTTTTTATCACAAAACGAATGTGTGTAACGAGATCATTATATTAAATTTTTTTACTAAACCAAGTTTACATTCAAATTCAATTCAAGTTTTTATTCGAAATTATTTTCAAATTATTAAACATAAAAAAACTATTTATTTACTATATCCTTAAGCTACAGTGTAACTTCCACCCTTCATACCGAATCACTGAACAGGAACAAAACGGAAGGTTTTTTGATTATTCCGTTTTTGCACAATTCAGTACGTTTGGATTGTAAACATCGAGAGGAAATAGGGATACCATGTAATGGGTGATGGGGTCCTGTCCCTTATATCGATGACAAAACATTCTTTGAATAGAAACTCATATTACGAACTTCAATAGAAACATGTTTTATTTAATTTTGTTCCTATATCTATCTCCATTATTTTCAGTATACTATATGTATTGTACTGCTGTATTTATACGAATTCCAGGTAGATGTTTTGACGTCGTATAATGAAATGATAACGTGTATGGGCCCAGGTGGAATGTTCGGTAATTTTACAGGCGTGAGTAATTGTTTTGTGTAATTAACAGATTTACTTTTGTGAATTTTACATTAATAATTTGTTTTCTTTAATAAAATGTTTTAATGGTTAGATCTCAATTAAAATTTAGTATTTTTTTTGTTTTATTGATTGGTATGTTCGAGTAGAGAACCCAGCAATATATGTACATCCTTAGTGAAAACTAAGGACGCTTGCACATAGCACATATAGAGCGGAGATTTAGATGATTCGATACAAATAAGCGTTACAAGTACACGTGATTAATAATTATACACATGGGCTTCCCGAGTAAACCTGGACTGGGAATTTGTAGAAGGGACCTGGACCAATTCTTTCTAGATATACGTTCGGAATTGCCAATTCCGGCAACTCAAACCTTCTCCGTTTAGGTCCAATGGTCACTTATGATGATTATGATGTTGATGATGTTGTTATATCTGTAGACAACGAGGTATCATAGATGTTTTAGTCTTCACGTTTTTTTCTCCAAGTTACTAACATATTTGTTCCGTGGAACCATTATTACGTATGAAAATTTTTAATATAATTTATAAAAAATTCCAGCAACCAATATCATGTTCAGAAGTAACGATCTACGCAAGTCGGAGCCTCGATTTATTAGTTATACCCAGTGTGACTTTCTTCAACTTGATTAAATATTACCCCAAGATCCATGAGCCTTTGAACAAGGCTTTTGAGATGTCTCGAGATTATATCTTACCTATTAATATGGAGATGAACGACGAAGACTCCTCCGGAGGTTAGCGTTACAATTTATAGATCCCTGTAATCCTTAATCTTGCTTTAGAACTTTCTCCACGTTTGACGAAATTGTACTGTTCGTATTTCTGGAATTCTGTAATTAGTTTTCTTCATCTTTATGGTGTAGCTCGGCAAACGAGCAAACGGTACCTGATGGTAAGCAATCAGCGCCGCCCATGGGCTCATGCAACAGCACATGACGACCTTTTGGACATTAGGGATTTGGAGATTTAGACTTTGGGGAGGGACCGTAGGAGTGGGAGGATTGGGCCTCCTGTAACCTCCAGTTTTCTTTGATTTTTCATGTTGTTTTGCATCAAATAGCATGATTATTTTCTACAACTTAATTGCATTAAAAAGTCTGAATAATTTATTAGCAACTTTTGGCTCATAAGGAAAAAACTGTTTAGGCTAGGTACCATAAATTCTTAATATTGTATTATTAGTTTTTAAGATTTTAAATAGTTATTTGTTTTTAATTTTTTTCTAGTTGATAAATACCCTTTTTATTTATATATGTATGCCGATGCTACGGCGAAACATGCAGAATTTATAAGAAATGTTACATCTATGTACCCCGTGTTTCATACAAATAAAGATTTCTTATTTCTTATTTCTTATTTCTTATTTCTTATTTCTTATTTCTTATTTCTTATTTCTTATTTCTTATTTCTTATTTCTTATTTCTTATTTCTTATTTCTTATTTCTTATTTCTTATTTCTTATTTCTTATTTCTTATTTCTTATTTCTTATTTCTTATTTCTTATTTCTTATTTCTTATTTCTTATTTCTTATTTCTTATTTCTTATTTCTTATTTCTTATTTCTTATTTCTTATTTCTTATTTCTTATTTCTTATTTCTTATTTCTTATTTCTTATTTCTTATTTCTTATTTCTTATTTCTTATTTCTTATTTCTTATTTCTTATTTCTTATTTCTTATTTCTTATTTCTTATTTCTTATTTCTTATTTCTTATTTCTTATTTCTTATTTCTTATTTCTTATTTCTTATTTCTTATTTGTCAAGTAGGTTCCTAATTTTATCTCGTCATGTTTTTTTTTGTAAAAATTAGATAATGTGTACTTCAGTAGGTTAGAAAACGTATTCAGCAGCGCCTCGTAATTAGAAAATACTTTCAGCCAAAATCTTTCTATAGATTGGTAATTGTAAGATTTCCCTTTGAAACCACATAACCGAATAATATGTCAATCTATACTAATATTATAAAGAGGTAGATTTTGTAAGTTTGTATGTAGGGGTAATCTTTGGAACCGCTGGTCGGATTCCCAAAATTCTTTCACTTATTGATAGCTATAATGTTCCCGAGTGCTATTAGGTTATAAAACATCACGCTACAATCAAACGGAGCCGAGCAGCGAGTGAAACCGCGCGGAGTTGCTAGTTAAGTATATAAGTGAAACCATTCAACTTTTACGACGTAAAAGTTGGTAAAATTTGTATCGAAAAAGATGAGGAGACATGAAAAGTTTTTGCATTAACTGTAAAATTGCCAGTGGACTGAAGGGATTAATAACTTCCACCACCAGCTTTTGCCATTATTGCCTTGACTGAGAACAGGGGCCCATATCGATAATAATATCGCTTTCTCTGTCTCTATATTCTTATGTATGCTTAAATCTTTAAAACTACGGAACGGATTTTAATGTTGTTTTTTTTAAAAGATAGAGTGATTGAAGAGGAACACTTTTTTGTATAATAACATCAATTAATTAAATGGTTCGATGCCGGAGTGGTTCGCTAGTAAACATAATATAGTTCTATATAAGTCTTATGACAAATAACCCTTTATTTCACAGAGGAATCGACGTTCGATTTGGCGTCTTTGGAATCAGGAGGTGATTCTAAAAGTGGTTCCAGTAGATTCGACTTATCAGGTTAGTTTTACATGAGACGTTTTATAAATAAATAATTTTTTACAAAATTTGCTTTTGTTATTCGCTATGATAGCAGAAAAAGACGAACAAATATGTGAAAGCAAAAATGTATAACGTGTGTCACACTTCCCAATTTTCAACTGCTTTCGCAAATATAGAAACAGAGAAAAATTTATTAAAAAGTATCAAAAAGAAACATCAACCTATTTCACTGTCATTATTTCAAACAGTAAAGGTAAAGTTAACATTCCTGGATACTGCCAACACATTAACCCTGTGTGTACGACTCGATAAACGTGTACACCCTTAGCACAACATAAAAAGATTTACAGCAAATCTTTCCTAGATATCTGTACCATTACGTGCACAATGGTGTCTTTTTACCAAGATAACAGGCTCACTTCGGAACTAAAGGCAGCATTTTCCTCGGCGCGTTCAAATAGGGCTGTCATCAAACTATCGTGTTCCTAATCCTTAGGGTCACTACCGATGAACGCGTCACATTCTGACGTGAGCCAGGCGAAGTCGTCAGGCAGTGTGTCCACGTATCACAGCTACACTCACGCTTCTAATCTGCTAAGGCCCGGAACGCTCATGTTTCAGGTAAATTGATACCGTCCTAATGAACTCTTGTGGCTAGAACTGGATATTTGTTTGTCTCCGACGTTTGGGTATGGGATGCGATGGACTTAGGAGCGTTGAGCCCAATTTATTTATTTTCTGCCATTTATTGAGTTTTTAACTACTGAATTACTGAATGCTTTGTAGCAGCTTAATATATGTATATAGTATTTAATCTTTCAATCCTAGTAATACGAGATACAATAGAAGAATAATAGGTGCATGAACGCCGCATTAGCTTGGCGTTTGATTAATTTATTACCAATATTCGAATTCGTTTTGTGGGTACACATGGGCGGATGCCAATCACCTATCATCAGGCGATCATTCTGTCTTCTATTTGTCACCATAAAAAGTAGTTAATGCATTTAATACTTTTCAGTGTTACGGCTACGTGTCTTGCATGGCAGTGATGTTAAATTATGTGGTGGGTCTGTACGACTTGGTGACCTTGAACGATTGTTTCATGCTGTTCTGGGTCCATACGTTTCTGGATATGTACTTCTATTGCAAAGTCTACCTTAAAATGCATCAAGTGAGTTAATCCAATAATTTGTTACTAATATGACTCAGAGACTATTTATTACAAATACTTCGAAAAATTATGCAATTTTTTGTTAAAAGGGAAATGATTTGGCATTTAATAACTTGTATGTGCATATGTATTTACTGCTTTATTATCATCCGCTTAGTATCAGTTATAAAACATAGACAGTTGAACATAGGCTTTCCCCAATGATTTTTACATAGGGTGGTCGGTAGCGACATGTATCGAGTGGCTCTTTGCGATATTAATCAAAGCACTAAAGTGACTATATCAACATAATACCCATAGCTTGGTGAAGTTAACAACATTTTCCAGAAGATAAAGAATTTAAAGTCTATAATAAAATCAGAGAAATAATATTATGTGTTTTGTAAATGTGGGAGAGCCATGCTTCGGCACGAATGGGTCGGCTCGACCGGAGTGATACCACGGCCTCACAGAAAACCAGCGTGAAGTAACCACAGCGTTGCGTTTCGCCGTGTAAGTGAGGTTACCGGAGGCCCAATCCTTCCCCTCCCCAATCCCTCCTCAATCCCTAAATCTCCAAATCCCTAATCCCTAAAAGGTCGGCAAGGCACTCGTAACTTCTCCGTTGCGGGTGTCCATGGGCGGCGCTGATTGCTTACCATCAGGTAATCCGTCTGCTCGTTTGCCGACCTTTCACATAAAATAAAAATAAATAAATGAAAATTGTATATGAACGGCGTCACTATAAATGCCCCGACATCAATCATGATGATTTGCTTAGTTTTATAATATATTAAACACCTAATAGGGTCTGAAGGTTTTCATAACTATTGTGTTACAGGGCTACTTAACCAAGCACGGGCAGCTAATACTGGATGGACCCAAATGTCGTCGTAGATACTTCAAACATAAAATGTGGATGTGGAGTGACATCTTTGTTAATTTTCCACTGGAATTCATTGGCTTTTGTTTTCCGTGAGCTCTTTATTTTGTTTATTAACTAGCGACCTGTCTCAGCTTTGCACTGTTGTTATGATTATATTAATTTTCTACGCAATTCAATAAATGTTCTTCCAAATACAAACATCTCTCTATGTATTAAAAATCGCATCAAAATGCGTTGCGTGTTCTTAAAGATGTAAGCATTCACATGGGTACAGGCACAAATGAAAGCGACTTTGCTTTATACTATGTTTGTTGTAGAGATGATAATCAAAAATATTATTAACATTTTTAGAGGTATGAGAGAACAGGGTGAAAAGTTCCTCATCCTCCATTGAAGAGGGAGGATCCTCCGACCAGGCAGGTGTTACGTTTGGTGGGCTACTGCCCGACAGTTGTTGTTGGGATTTTTGTATCGGTTCTAATTGCGTTGAGAACTCGTATACCGCGATGTAGAATCTTGCACGTAATTGGTGCTGTTGTTATGGTTGTGCGATAGATGTCGCTACACATTTTTTGTTTTCGACAAGTAAAAAGGTCGTAATACATTATTGTGTCGTGGCGTTGCGTCAGAGACCAGAGTTTTTATACAAATTCTCTATGGCTAAAGAAAAACCTACGTGGCGTCGCGTTTTTGTCAGACGTATGCAACCGGGGCGTTCTGTCGCGACACATTACGCCACACCACACAAGTGTGTCTCTAACCTTATTCTTAGATATGTGTGATATATAAAATGTATAAAAATGTTTGATGTGAAATAATTACGATACTGTTAATACCCACAACCTCACCCACGAAGTTATTAGTTCTTATATGATAAAAAGTATTATATATGTTACTATGTACTTACTTATATAAGGATTTAACACCTACCGTATTATGAATTGTGTGGTATATATTGTGTGAAATCAAAATAAATTAGATAGGTTATTATTATTTATGGGATATTTACAATTAAAAATTAAACACAATTAAGTGTTACGAGAGCCAAGCTTCGGCCCGAATGGGTCGGCTCGACCGGAGTGATACCACGGCCTGGCAAAAAATCGGCGTGAAACAACCAAAGCGTTGTGTTTCGCGGTGTGAGTGAGTTACCAAAGGCCCAGTCCTTCACCCTCTCTCATCCGTTCAACAAAAGAGTCATAATTCTGAAAAGGTTCTTTCAGATCAAAGTTGTCTTTCTCTGTCCATATACCTATCCCTGTGCGCCTTAATCTTTAAAACTGCGCAATGGATTTTGATGCAGATTTTTTATTAGATTGAGTAATTGAAGAGGGAAGTTTATATGTATAATCACAACAATTAAATATTGCACAATTTGTTAGCGCACTACTCAGTAATGACTGAACCGATTTTGTCAATGATTTTTTGTCAGATGAATGTTCTTAAGTAACGGTGTATGTCGCGGTTCGCTAACAAAACGGATGCCTGACACCGAGGTCGTATGACATCAGTGGGAAGCAGGTCCAGACCGCTGGTATTAAATATACCTTCAGGAATAAATGTACCCAACTTTAACCTTTTCGTAGGAACCCTGTTCGAGCTATGCATTATCTACGTGCAATAAAGCTACTGAGACTAAAGTATTTGATCGAGTTCTACCTTCGCACATCTCGAGAACTAACAAATAATCTAACAACATTACAGGTATTTTATTCAAATCTCTTAAATAAGCTATTATACAGACAGAATATACAGGTTAATTACAAGATATTACCTTAATACTTGTTACACACGGCATGAACCATAATGCTTGCTCAAAGCGTATTGGTGATTTTAACCTTATTTTAGAAGTTGTAAAGTCCGGGTTTCCTCACGATATAGTCCTTCACCTATTAGTACATAAAAATTTCAACATAAAAAGTCACATACTATACGTCACATTAGTACTTGCTAGGGTTCCAACTCGCATTTTCATGTATGAAAAACGGGAATTTCAACGTCCGGGTCACCATCACCTCGACTATTATAAAAAATCATGATGTGTCGTCATTTATTGTCGACATAGTATATGAAATTACTGACTGCACAGTTGGCGTAGTGGCTGGGCAAATGGCTGCTGTACGACGAGTCGCAGGACGATGATCCCTGCACAAAACAACACTTTGTGTTAAGCACAGATAGTATTTTTAGGTGTGAGTGTGATATGTACGTGAATTTGTATGTTTGTAAAAGCACCCACGAACCAGGAGACATGCCTAGGTTAGGGCAACGTTCTAAAACAATTCTATGACAACTACTTCACAACAAAATCTAGTTGGAAATTATTTCGTCCAGTTAAACTGTAGTTATATGTACGCAGGTGGTGATGACAGCAATCGGGGTGGTGATTATGATCCACACTTTCTCTTGTGTGTGGCTGCTCGCAATGATTGGGACATCTCCCATCGGCATCATACGGACTCTCAAGACACACACTATTGATATGTTAGTCTTTATTCTTATTTACATTTAAAGAAAGAAATAAGAAACGCATTTAGTAGGCATACAAGGCAAAAATAATAATTATTAAACATGATCTACACCTTCTGCTCAGAGATTATTGTTTGTAGAGTCATGTTTTGTCGTCTATAGACTTCTTTGATCTTTGATTTTGTCTATCCTATACAAAAATATATTTAATTCGAGTAGTTCCAAAGGTTCAGATGTTCAGACGGTTTTGCGGGTCAAGCGCAATACTGTGGCTCCGGCCTGAATCAGGAGAAGAGACGGGGTAGTTCTTAGTCAGTAAGAGTTGATACTTCCTCGCCTCACCCTGGGCAAGAGAAGTCATTTGATGATGTTTTCTCCTCAAAAAAGTACTCGACTCAAAATAGGCCATATATAACGATATACATACCTATACTAACCTAGAGATAAATAATCCGATTCACAGAGAGAACTCGCAAATTCGCTGGGATTACGTGACGTCAATTTATGTGGTCATAGCGCAACTGACCACGACGGGCAGTGACGAGTTTTTAGTTGACGAGATTCTCCCAATGAGTATCCTGGCTATTATACTTGTGTGTGGGAAGATGTTAGCGGCCATCATCGTGGCTGCATCCATACAGCTTGCGTACTCCACTAAATACGCGTTGACAGCTTACGAAAAATATACCAGAGAACTTATAGATATGCTCAAGAATCAAGGCTTGTCTGGTAAGTTTCTGACTTTAATATTATATTCCTAATTATAGGATTTCATGTACTAGGAAGTTTGTTTTCTACAAGTCAACCAAGTTTTAGAGGTAACCTTAAAAAATAATTGATATTTAACAAAAACAATACATTATAATGTAGCTATGAAGATATTGGTATTTTTATGGAGTAGGACACAAGCGAGTTTTTTTGTTATGTGTGTTATTGCTAGGAGAAGGTTCTTATGAAAAAAAAATTTAGAATAGTAGAGGGTAGAGTTGGGTAATAGGGACACTGTCGTCGTTAGTGAGATGATGGGACACGTGCGAAGCAGGGGCGAACTGCTAGTATATAAATAAATATGATAGAAGGATATAGTATAGTGAAGGAGTATGCTCATTTCTTGAAGGTTTGAAGGCCGTATAGGTCCAAAAATACTGCTTTCCTCAGTCTTTGTTATCGAAGAAAAAGTTAAGCTACTTAGTTTTTAAATATTCAAATGATCTACCAATTACTTGTTTTAGACTATCAATTGCAAAAGTTTTGGAAGTATATCCAACAGCTTTGGGTAACGGAGCGTGGAAGACAGGTAAAGTTTCTTTTATAGCTATTATCCTCTTCAATCATAATAATTACCTATACTAAAATATTATTCATTATTCTACTATTACTACTACTATTTGTAATTAATATATGATTACATGTATTTTTGTGCATTTCGGAATATGTGGCAATGGACCATTCGTCAAGTGGTTGCCTGGTCAATTCGTGGGTCGAGTAAAGTGTTATTGCGGTTTTTTCGTTTTTCCGGACTGGTAAATAAATAGGTGTTACGTTGTGTATTTTCACTGTTTAAGGGTTAAAATTAAAATATGTGACGATTTCTTTTGTTATGTATTATCAGCGGGATTTCCATGAGCAATAAATAACAGTGTAGCTAAACTTACTGAAAATAATGCCTAACCCTCGTGAATTAACTGAGAAAAGCTCTACCAGTTTCAAGTCAGAACGGAACTCTTATTTATGGCAGCGTGCGCGTTGCGGCAACAACTTTAGACTCGGTTTTTCAGTTTATTCATGTAAATAAATTTTTGTTTCATTAAATTAAGTATCTATCATTAAAGTTACTTTAAAAAAAAGCAGTAAAACTATCCTTTATTTACTATGACAGCTGCCCCTCCTACTCTCACAAACTCCTTACGTAAGACGGTGTGATCTGATGTCAGCAATGTTTGGCCATCATTTGAGGAACTGCTACATATTCGCTGAGACTGGCGAGGCATTCCTTCGACAACTGACTGTTGATCTTGACTATACTATATTCTTTCCTGGTAAGTTATTTTTTATATTAAAAACTAGTTACTCTTACGCGGTTTCACCCGCTGCTAAGGCTCCATTTGACCGTAGCGTAATGTTTTATAGCCTATAGCACTCAGGAACATTGTTGCTATCTATCAGTGAAAGAATTTTGGTAATCCGATCAGCGGTTCCAAAGAATACCCCTTACATACAAACTTACAAACTTACAAATTTTACCTCTTTATAATATTTGTATAGACTAGCGATCCGCCCCGATTTCGAATGGGTGCAATATACATGTAAACCTTCCTTTTCAATCACTCTATTTATTAAATAAAACTGCATCACAATCCGTTGCATATTTTTAAAGATTGAAGCATGAAGAAATATAGGGACAGAGAGAGCGACTTTGTTTTTTACTATGTAGTGATAATATGATTCCTGTACCCTGTTGTATTAAGATATTTAGGGTTTAGGGTAGTATTTTAACCAAGTCACGGAACCAATAAAATTTACCTAATGGGAATAAAATTATAAAATCCATTTCAATCGTGAGTAAGACAATAAATGCTTATATAAAACGAAAAATTTCAGTTTAGGAGCAAGAGGTTGCTACGTCGTCGTCTAGTAAAATATACTAAATCGTGACGTCACACGTTTATTTAAAATCAAAGAACAAGACGGGTACTAAGAATTAAAATTAGTCACTACCGTATTATTTATTTATTTATTTATACAAATAAAAGTAAAGGTGGACTTAGGCATTGTCTAACAGTCGACCTTTAGGTGATTAGTATTTTTTATGGTACAAACGAGCAGACGGATTACCTAATGGTAAGCAATCGGCGCCGCCCTTGGACTCACAACACCAAAGCGGTTACGAGCGCGTTGCTGGCCTTTTATTAGGGGATAAAGGTTTCAGATATTTAAGGATGGAAAGGGATGGGGAGAGGCGGAGGGATTGGGCCTCCGGTAAGTTAACTCACACGGAGAAATACAACGACGTTGTACATAGTTGTTTCACGCCGGTTTTCTGTGAGACCATGGCATCAGTATTAGTCTAAGAGCTAGTGGAAAGCTACCTATATGTATTTGACCAGACCTGGCTTTTTGTACATTGAGGCCCCTATACCTACCATACATGAGATGGGGACCCACTAAGCCCAGAGTGGTGGACGCGGCGGGCGCTCAGGTAGGACAGGTAGTGATTTTTAGCAAATTTTAAATTCATTTGACGACGTCTGCCGTTTAGAAATTTAACACGTTAACCGCCACGTAGGTCACCGGTGACCTACGGTAGCGGAGGATTTGCCTTCGATGATTTTCTGTCGGCAGTCAAAGGCTTAAAAACATATTATTATTATTATTTTGTTTGTTCTTTCCTTTCACGGGATCACAGGGTCCCGGACCTTTGGAAGGCGTACGAGGAGCCGAAGCCAACTCGCAGAGGCCCGTTGAACAATTTTAATCTAAATGTGATGGGACATCAGCCGGCAACTATCCCTGTATGCACTATAAAAGTCCACCCAAGGACAATCCCCGGTTGATGCAGGACTATTGTGAAATGTGGTATAAATTGATACGGTTATGGGTATGGGTTGCTATGCACTAGTGGATGAAAACTATGGAAATACTGTGGCCCCTGCCCCTGACCAATATTGATACATACGGATTAACAGGTAGGGGGTGACTGGCAAACTCAATTAATGGGCCCCCGGAAATGGCCGCTGGCGTGTATTGCAGTGCACTTTTAAGTATTAAATCAGTTTTTTTTCTTACTTTTGTATATTGTCATATCAAAACAATGAAGATAAAGAGGTTTACTCACGAAGCATAATAAATCATGGCAAATACGTCTAATGGACGTAGGATACTTCGTATTCAAATTCACTTTAGCAAACTTTTACGTTTGAAAATCAAAACTAACATGGATGTGAATCCAATTTAAAATTCCCTATGCCATTGCAGTTCAGAGAAATGCTTTTTTTATTTTGTGAAACTACATATAGCAAAGATTTGTCACCATATATTTTCATACAAACATATCTACAAAGGTACGCTATTACTAAATTGAAATGAAAACATAGCTACGAATTACTTTCTAAACCTTATTTTTTTAATAGAAATAAATAATTAACGAAGCAGCATATCCTATTAACTGCCAAGGACGTTTAGCATTAGGATACATATTGTGACATAACCTTTTTTCTTAGGGGGAAAAATAATCAATTGCTTTTTCCACCCTGGGCGTAGAGAAACGGAATGTCAGGCTCTAAAACCTGACTAAAAACCACAAACGGAGACTCTGGAACTGGTCTATGTAGACCTTAAGTGTGGGAGAGCCATGCTTCTGCACAAATGGGCCGGCTCGACCGGATAAAACAGACATGGCGTCACAGTATACTGGCGTAAAGAAACACGCTGTGCTTCGCTGTGTGAGTGAGGTTACCGAAGACCCAATTCTTCTTCTGCTCTCCGTCTCAATCCGATAATTCTCCATTCTCAAATCCCTACCAAACCATATAGTCAAAGTCAAGTCAAGTCAAAATCATTTATTTCAATTAGACCACAGTGGGCAGTTTTGAACGTCAAGCAAAAAAAGAAAAAGAAAATATATTTCAAGCGGTTTAAATTTATGCGTGTCGGTCTGTCCGTCTGTCCTCTAGTGAAGCTATTTGCTCGTTCCAAAGTGTAGATTTCGATGGAGAAGAACGAGCAAGAATATCCATGGTTACTTTTTTTTAATCAGTTTTACAATTCGTTTCTTTGTTACATCATTTATTCGGTTCAGATATGTGAGAACAGTGTAACACTAATGTTTAGACAAAGAATTTGAAAAAGAAGTTAATCTCAAGGACATAACACCGGCCATTCGCTTGTAACTCCTTTGTTGTTACGAGTACAATACCGCCGCCGTATCTTAGCGAGTCTTAAGTTAGCCGATTAGCTGCGCAGTACACAATTTTGTTCCTAAAAGATCCAATGCGCCGACAAACGGCTAACTTCAGACTCGCCACAATACGGTGGCCGTACTGTATGTAAAAGTGGATAGCGCTGATTTCTAACCATAAAGAAAGGTCTACTTTGTGCCGACGAATCCCATAACACGAGACATTTTGTCCCTTTATAATTGTTGATAGTTGACTCCTAGATAGTTGTAGTGAGGTAAGGACCCCGGGATCTCCAGAGCCTTCCTTATTAAGAGTCTTTTACATATGATTTATTTTTCAGGGAACTATATAGTAGTGGCAGGGGACAGCGAGGCACGAATGTACTGGGTGTCTACAGGAACAGTGTCAGTTGTGTCAGTTCGCGACGACCTCACTGAGATCACACATGAGCTTCTTGGACCCGGAGATGTGTTTGGAGTACTGCAGGGTCTGAACAGGGGCATCTCACATTGTTTCTCCTATAAGGCTGAGACTAAGGCAAGTGATGTGTTTGGGATGTAGGTAAAAAAGAAGTTAAGTATTTTGTTTTTTTTTATGGTATAAGTCGGCAAACGAGCAGACGGATTGCCTGATGGTTAGAAATCGGCGCCGCCCATGGACACTCGACCCATGGACAAAGAGTTACGAGTGCCCTATATGAAGATTGGGAAGGGCCCTATCCCTTCCCAATCCTTATATCTGCAACACCTATCCCCAAAAGGCACTCGTAACTCCTTCCCCTGAAGGGGAGGGATTGGGCCTCCGGTAACTTCACTCACACGGCGAAACACAACGCTGTGGGTTGTGCCACGCCGGTATTCTGTGAGCCTGTGGTATCATTCCGGTCGAGCCGACCCATTCGTGCCGAAGCTTGGCTCTCCCACACTTAAAGATTGATTTAGTCCAAAGATAGTTCTTTGTTATTATGATATTATTATGATCAAATCTGTTCCACAACACAGGTCAGCATCTTAACGCTGAGTCTGGATTCTTGGATCAATATTCTTCCGTTTTTCCCCGAAGCTAAGAAGACGATACTAGAAAGATCAGAAATATTATTTACACAGATAACTTAGTTTCAACATAAATTATCTGAATTTTAAAGGTTTCGTCTAAGTTTTAATTAATTGTTTATACTTCATTTAATTTGTTTACTGTTATTAAGGTTCATTTTTCCTTGCAATTCGATACACAAATCTTTCAATTTTGTTTCAAAAGTTGGTATTGAATGTAGGAAGGTGTCACGTTACCGCGACACAAGAATGGAATTTATTTGAAAATTCTTGGAACTTTTCGTTTCACGATTGTACCCGTATAATATCGGTATCGGTGAGGTGCACGCACACATGTACAATAAATACATTTAACTATTGTACACTGACACACATGAAGGCACTTCATTCTAGATTGGAAGCCACTTTAAGCCGCTTACGACAGTTTCGATATTCGAGCCTTTGAAATGATGAGAGCCCAATGGAATCGAATCGGAACTGTATAAACGATGACAAAAGTGAACAGAAAATCGAAATATATTTTTCAATTCACTATCTCTATTCAGAAATAAAACGTTGAAACATTTTGGTCATTTTAATACGTACACGTTTCCGTGTTTATTAAAATGTTTCCAATATTAATGTCTCATCGGGTTTTTATGTGGGATAAATAAATGACGTATATTCATTTGCTTCGGTTAAAAGTACCTTTTACGATAATTTTTAGTGTACAAATCCGAAACAAATTAAGAGGATTAGTTTATCGGTAGGTATACATATATTTATTTTTCTGATAGGCAGATTGTGTAGGAATGTATTATCTAATTTTGATCTGTATGGTAGATAAAAGAAATGAAATAAATAAATAATTACCATTTCAACATTGTGTTTGATGTTTTTGTAGTTTGAAGCCTAATCAGTAAATAGAGACTCGGCCTGTGGCTGTTATGATGATGTTGATGTCAATTATGAAAGAAAATGTTTATATATTTTTTACTACGGATTTATTACTAAAAAGAGTCATACATTGGTTCATGTTAAATTCATCTCTAAAATTCACGAAATAACAGATTAATCTGTTGGTATAGGAAATAGTAGGTATATAGTCAAATCTATGAATGAAGGTATGATTAATATTTGAATAATTAATTGTATTGTAGGTCCTAAATAATTTATTTGTGACTTAGGAAACTATCCAAAGTATCCAATTGCACAAAATGTATGTTTATATATTAACTTCTTATTCCGGGGTTGCGGGGTAAGCGCAATTAGGCACAGCGGCCTCAGGCAAGAGCAGGAGAAGGAAAGGGGGGTTTTTTAGTCAGTAAGAGTCTGCCACTCCCTCCCACCCCACCCTGGGCAGGAGAAGGCTTTTGATGATTTTCCCTCACAAAAAAAGGTATCAACTTCTAAAACGATTTACGGATATCTAAACAACACTATTAAAATTATATATTTGAATAACATAGTTAAATAATTTGTAACGTGATAACAAAGGTCTGTAATGAGTTTTGTAATCTAGCGTACCCATTCCCAGAGTCATAATATTATTAATGTTAGACAAACGGTTGTTGTCGCTAGCGATGTTTGCTTTATACAAATTTGTACTCGAGCTGAGCAATGATTAGAATGTGAAATATGAGGGAGAATAACCTACACGCCGTGTTGCCTACCACACAAATTATAGATACGGATGTACATAATTAAAATAATCTTAATTGGTTTAATTTGTATTCGAATATCAACCAATATCGAAAATATTGTCGCGACTAGTAACTAGCATCCAACGTTCTTAAAATATCTCAGATTTCAAGCAGCGACATTAATTAACGAGCTACGAAATTGAATATGCTTGTTAAGGAAATTTTCAAACTTTAAAACACATCGCTGGTAGTGTGCGCTGCTGGAGCAAGTTTCAACAATACCCCATCTGTATTTGACGCACTCTCCTGACTAATGTTGCACGGCTTGCGAGAACTAACAAAGCAAGAAATTAAATACAATATGCACCGACTTTTGTAATTAAAATTAATGATATAAAACTACGTTCTATAGTCGATAAGTCGATATAATAACCTATTAAGAAGTTTGAATTGTTCGTTTAATTGCGTTTGCTTTGGAAGTTTTACGTCGCAGAACCGACAAAGTTGTTAATATTAAATATTTCCGGGAGGAGACCGGTCGTGCCGCTCGGCGTGCGCAATGAAAAATCAGATTTTCATATATTGAGGTGGGTGCCCAAATGGAGGCAATATCGAAGTGCTGATTTGTCGCTCCGCTGGATATTGGTCTGGCGTTGATTCAAATCGGTGCGAATGTGGAGACGAGCTAAATTGGCCCCGTTTAATTCTCGGAATAAGATAAATGGGTACATCGATTTTGTCGGAAGCTTTTTAAAGTTACTTTAGTCATAACGTAAAATATTGTTTCTATTAATACGCCTACCTACGAGTACCTATTCATAACCATTTCGCAGGAAAATGGGTCTAGGTTACATAACGGAATAACTAACATTATTACGAGAAGTTTTACAATGCAAAGAATCTCATATTACTGTTATATTTAACGTTTTTTTTTTTGCGCCATTTGCAGCAGATGACATTGAGGCATGTGGAAGATTAATCTGGGAGGTGTAGGGGACAAGTGGGTACTGCGGGCACAGGCAGTGGGGGGAGGGGGGAGTAGATGTCCGCGTTATTTAGTTGAGCATTACATCAGGCTCCTGCGATGCTCCGTTCTTCGCTCAAATTAAATCAACGTTCATTGAAGTGGCTCGTCGCAATCGTTGGTCATTACAGACGGCTAAGAAATCACATAGCAGTTGTCTTTTTAAAAATAATGGAAACGATTCACAGTTATTTTTATAGCTGTTATTAGGTGGAACTCCGCACGTTATTACGGCCATTCAACAAAGTTTGTAAGGCTCCAAAAGAAAGGACCGTCAAACGTTCCAAGCCCTGGTAAGGTATCAATTTAATCATAAGGAGTTACGACCTTCATGGTTATATTTATGTCGCTCCTTCACCAGCGAAATCCATTCGGGATGAAATTAAATTAGGGACTGATTGAAATAACCTGCTCAAAATGCCAATGGGATACCGTCTTAAGCTTAAGAGTTTTTGAACTTGTTGAATTTTGATCGTTTTTCACGAAAAGAGACTGATATTTTTGCCAGCTGTGTTAATAGGAATTTATAGGACTTTTTAAAAGTGTCCTGTGTCTGCTTCCTGGGATAAAAAGTAGACACGCCATTATTTATCACTGTCACTGTCCTGTCTAGATATTTTACATGCAAAATATAAGTGGGTATATTGCAGCGTTACTGGATAACTAGCATACAAAATTAATTTATATAGACTTACATAGATTTATATAGACTGCAATGAATATACAATGAACTCGCAAAGAGATTTTGTTTTTTTATGCTAATCCTACTAATATTACCTATATAAATGTGAAAGTTTTGTGAGAATGTTTTGATGTATGTTTGTTACTTTTTCACGCTAAAACGGATGGACCGATTTGGTTTAAATGTGGTATGTAGATAGGCGATACCTTGGGTTAACACATAGGCTCTTTTTTACCTATCGAACTAAGCCGCGGGCGGAAGCTAGTATATAATAATAACGTTAATTTGCCCAAACAACACAAACTTAATGAAATTGTATAGAGTATAGTTGAAAAAAAATTAGTGGGTAACGTATCTTCAATAGGAAATAAATGAAGATACAAATAATAAGCTCAACTTGAAGATAGCACGCGCCACCTTTACGGGATTGTCATTTTTTATATGCTACATTTTCCCTGATACAGACGTCGCATTTTGAGTCGACGTGAACTATGGATACTATTGAAAAATGATTTTTAAGTACTCGTATTTAAGTTTAATTTCTAAATGACCTTACGACTTTAATTATTATTTTAAACTAATATTCTTTTACTTACCTACACATAATAATATAGCAGTTATACAGTATTTTTTTTATTGAAGGAATGGAGTAAGCCTTCGTGCACGCGGATCGCCTGATGGTTATAACTTTTATTATTGTTTTGGTATTCTTAAAATTATTATCTACCTAATATACGGAACAAGTATTAGTGTGATCCACAAATTGTTGTTACGTATATGTCAATTTGTATGTTTGTAAACGCACCCACGACACAGGAGAAAATTCTAGTGTGGGGCAACTTTTTTTTTAAATATAATTAGATATTAGTTATGGTTGGCAGTCAACAACAGCGATTTTGATTTTCCAGAAATTTTCTGCCTCGTACGGCAAAACTTTGGAATGATCTTTCGGCGGCGGTATTTCCGAACCGATACGACTTACGACTTTCAAAGACTTTGACCTTCAAAAAACGTGCTTACTTTGACTGTGAGTCATCTGATGTTGCAGGTGTTCATGAGCAGCGCTGATCAGTTACAATCAGGAAATCAGTCTGCTCGTTTGCCTCCTATTCCATAAAAAATAAGTTTATTTTTTGTTTAAATCAATATTAGTAAAATTTACCGAACCTTTAATATGGTGA